GTATGTTGTTTTTTGTTTGCATTCTGACTACAAGTATTGTGGTTAATGCAGACATGATTCCTCGTAAAAAAAAAGAATTGTTGCCAGAAAAAAAGGGGAAAAAAACTATTCTCATAAATAGAAATACTTTTTTTTTTTAAATTAGCCATTATTCAAGAAAGCCCGCAATGAGAGGAGGGGTCCTGTATTGCCATGATTGACCAATTCCCGTTTAAACAGTGCCTCACCTTTGCAGGAAAGGAAGGTACCAGAGAAAACCTAATGCCAGGAGATGACACGAGACTTCATTCCCGATCTACTGGTTTGGTAAAAATTAAGTTTCATGCAAAATCCATTGTTGCGCGTCCCTAGACCACCTCGGGTGTATTAAGTATATGCGACCGGTTAGGTGTGAAATAAAATAAAATGATGGCCTTGGCAAGCACGGCAGTGCGTGCAGGGGCACGCGTGCCACACTCCTCTACTTACGAACGAGTTAGGTTCCAGAGGTCTGTTCGTAAGTCGATTTGTTCGTAAGTCCAACTTCACTCCTGTTGATTCCAAACAAGTTGTACGCCGTGTACACTAAACACGAGGAATTACTTTAAAATCTCCTGTAGATGTAGATGCCACTACCGCCATCTATAGCGCAGCGGTTGAACTTACGACTCTCTGTCCGAACAGGCAACTTGACATACAGACAGGTTTGTTCGCATCTCTGAACGGTCGTAAGTCAGATGTTCATAAGTAAAGGAGTCACTGTAAATGGGCCAGCAGGTGGGAGGGAGTACACGATGTTGACCTATCTGTATGGATTTTTTGAGTGTCATGCCTCATCTGCGCACCCCCAAAATGCAAACACAAAAAACAGTAAAGAAATGGCTAAAATATGCCAATAAAGACTCATGAGAAAAGAGTATTGCGATTCAGCTGTGCGTTTCTAGACACGTACATACATAACCCTCGTTATTTTTGTACAGAAGACCCCCTTTAAGTTGCTGACCAGAATCTTGCAGTCAGCAGTAGTGTAGTGTCGTTATCAATGCACTCACAGACAATGCATTGTTATGAACGACGTCAACCTACCACTCACTCGGGAAGACCACGCTGAGTCACAGAGCAGTGGTCAGCCCCGGCTTAGGTTATCGGTTCTTCAATAAGACATCATCAGTGTGTTGAGGGCTGCCACACATTTGAAATCATTGGGGGTTTGACAGCACAATGATGGGGGGGGGGGGGGTGTTTTCACATCTGCGTATTGTCTGGGGGGGCCGAACTAAAGGCCACCAGGCGCCCGACTGGCCCGCAGGCCTTGCGATGTAGGACACTGGCCTAATGGTTCAGCAGTTGTTTTGGGTGTCGGCGATTGGATTAGTAACTCAAACGTGTAAATGGCGAGAAACCCAATCACAACAGAAACAACAATGCAGGCTGGAAGCGAATAAATACGACTCGCACATACTCTTTGGTTCTATTCGGTAAAGTCAGGTAGGTGACTTTACCTACGTGACTTTACCGAATAGAACCAAAGAGTATGGATCCTTGCAGTCACGAAAGCTTCAAATCTAGAACGACTCACACAGGCGCGCAGCGCACGTGCAAAAGCTCTCAGCCTTATGGCTCTACAGTGGTGATGAGTCCCAATGGGGATGAAATCGCACTACGTTCCCATTGGAATGGCCACAACATCTCAGACTCTTTCAGTTGGTGGTCTAAATTACAAAAAATGGCTTTTGTGTGTTGTTATATCTGATTAGCCGCCATGGTGGCGATATGTTAACTACCTCGCCTGGTATAGAGGTCGTGGGTTCGATCCGACCCTGACGCCTGCATATTTGGAGTTTGCACGTTTTCCCCGTGGTCGCGATTTTTCTCCGGGTCCTCCAGTTTTTCCCTCCACGTTAAAAAAACACGTGCGTTTAGAGTATTTGGCTGCTATAAATTCCCACGTGATAAGCCACTTCGTTGAGCTATCATTTGTGGCCAGGTCGCTTCTGAAAAAAAGCTGTACAATATAGCTCATTGGGGCCTTACCTGGTAAAATAAAAATTAGTTGAAGTTTTAGTTGCGTTTGATTGTTACTGTTTTTATTTCAACGCAACACACCGATGTCCTTCACAGTCGTTCCATTATACCCGACCTGGCCTCCGATGTCAACGTCGGTGGTTTGTGTCACTCGGCGCATTGGTCATCTTGTCAATCCACTGCTGGATGAAGGCCTCCCCCAGGCCCTGCAGGTCCTGCAGATTATTTGCCTACACTTCACCACACTGGCAAGTTCGGTTGATGAGGATGGACAGAATAGTCCTGTAGTCACTGAAGTACAGAACAACACTGGTCCCTGCTGCCCATCCACGTATCTCTGCAGTCCTATGACTATACGTCCGTGCATGGTGGTCACCCATCCAAGCACTATCGAGGATAAAGCCTGCTTAGCTCGTTTGTGCAATTCTAGAATTTCAATGTTTGTATTCGTCACAAATATTCCTTAACAAAAGACAAATTATTACGTCAAATTAGATGTCACTTGGCAAAATAAAGAAAACTGTGAACTTCCACTTGAGAGCCCCTGACTTATATCACAATGTTGGCAGATGTGGAGGCTTAAGCCGTTTAGTAACAACAATTATCCACGTGATGATCACTCTTCCACACCTCCGAACAATGCGTCCCATTGTTTAAATATGTCCAAATTAAGATTTTTTAAATTATTATTTAAGAGGGCACAACGGGTATTCCACACAGTGTACCATGTTAAGCCTACCGAGTGACTTCAGGGGTAGTTCTGCGATGTCGTTTTCTACGGGCTGTTCGCTGGTGTGATGCGATGCTCTGTTGATTGTGCGAGTTCCAAATGAAACAGTTGCTTTGTGATGTAATACCAAGATAACAAAATGGAATATAACTGGTGATGAAAGTGCTAATATTTGTGTGCATACCTCATCAGCATCACAAGAACACGTCTGTTCAATCATAGAATACCGATGAGCACGGATGGTACAACTGCAAACATAGTAAACCAACGCGCGTGTGCCTTGTTCTACAGTGTCCGAGAGTACTCGCTACAACGTATAAATCTATTACCAACATCTAAAACACAGGTGGTTACATTGTTTATTTCAATGCCATGAACGCCCGCTTAGTTCCGCACTTACGCCTGATTTTGAACGCCACGTGGTATGTATGTACATAATCACCCGCGCGATGCTCGTTTTACGCAGCTTTTACGCAGCTATCACAAATGGAGGTCGGCAACTCCCGCCTCTCAGGTCGTACACAGCCCAGTTCCGTCTCTCCCCCGTCGCATACATCCATGCCGTTCACTCGCGATGTGATCAACGAGCATCACCGTAGGACACACTCTGTTGAAGGGATCAAAAATGGAAAGACTGACCCTGAGGCCGCAGACCTACATTTTTACTAATCCCTGGCCTGCAGGTTTATTTTCCCCTCGTTGCACACGAACGTTTACTTTAGTGCTGCGAAATTAAATGGGGTCATGATAAACAGGACGGTGACAATGTGTGCGCGTCGTCGAGGCTTCCGCACAGCTGGATGAACATCGGTTTGCATTTGCAGCCGGTGGTGTGTTGACCCCTGCTGCAAGAGCCGCTCTCTCTCTCTCTCTCTCGTGTCCGGGTTTCGGAAGCGATTTTGACACGAACGGATGTTCAGTCTCGTGATTAGCTTTCGGGTTCATGATTTCACGAGAACAATAATGCATCAACAGGTTTGCACAATACATTTGCATGAATGGTATTCCAATGCAATGGGATTCACTCTGCATTGTTTGCAGACCGCTGTCAGTTCTGCGAGGGCTACATATGTCACTGCAAGCACTTCAAATTCTATGCGGTAGTAAAGCACGATAGCCCGTGAGCCCAGACCAGCTTATTTCATCTGATGTGGCATAACTTTACTGGTTTCAATTTGTTCACGTGGCCAATAAGAGTGAATTATGCGATAACCACTTGAAATTAGAGAGTTCAGCAATTCATCCACTCTCATTGTCCGTATAAAATAAATCTGTACGACTAAAGTTTTGCTACCTTGGGTGGCACCGATTGTTGCTCTGGCCTACAGACTATAAATCGTGCAGCAAATGCAGGCGATTTACATCCAGGTGTTCTCGGGCAGCATCTTCCACAATCAAAACACAAGACAACGCAGAGATCCCCCGTATAGCCTGAGCAGACTTTTGGGGCGAATGCTGTTAGCGAGCACCTATGAAGGCCGGCACGACACACAAGGGCGTGGGTAGCCAGCACTACGCCCGGCCACCTTTGTCTTTCTAGTTACGATGCTTAACGCACCAGGTACTCATTTGAGGCTGAGTCGACCTAGGGGAGGCCCAGGACCAGTTCAGGTGATCGTCACTGGTGTTGGCTGTGAACGGGAATCAAACTAGGATCACTGGGTTCACAGCTCAGCGCGCTAACCGCTGCACTGCCGCTCCCCAAACAAAACACGCGCGCGCGCACACACAGACACGATTATTGTATACGCACGGGCGGGTTATGCATGAAATCTCACGACACATTATGAATCAATAACTTATTCTTAGTGCATCAAACATGATACTGTACACTCTAACTGTGATCAAAGGACAACATAATAAAGCAAATAATACAACTCTTAACATCGCTTCAATAAAGCAGCTGGGCAGTTTGGCAAACACTTTCCTGCGCGGATTCCTCAAATGCGCTGGTTCGAAATGAGCAAAACAAAAAAAAAAGAGACTTGTGCGGCAGTGAAGAAAGTTCCTTTTCAGTCGCAATGTTCTTCATCTTAAACGCTCAGTGGATTTAAAAACGAAAGAAGGTCGTGAATAAAACAATGCGACAGATGTCACAATTGAACTTCTGTTGAACGGCAAAAAGCAGCTGTTTACACTTTTCTTTTTAAGGGAACACAAAACCGTGGATTGCGTCACCTCTCCTGATTTTGAAGTCGGTCGTCATCGGGTCACGAAGAGGCAACGTTCCACCAAAAGGAGTTTCTCAGAGCATTCTTTTTTCTAATATTTAGTCGCCCATGTCATAAAAAGTTCAAGTCCAGATTAGCAGCTTTAATAAAAACAGAAAAGGTACCTTTAAAAAAAGGCTTTTGTTAGAAATTGCATACAAACTATTACTCGTTAAGTGTATGGGCATTGTCTTGGATTTATGCACTGCAGCTCATCCCTCTGGACTTGATAAAGTGAGTACCACTTTGTTGGATATCAACAGTGGTTTTGCTATGCTTTTCTTATCGAGAGACATGCCCCTGCCATAGGAATGTCGAATTTCTATAACTGCCTTTGGGGGCCACCAATGCAGATCTGCACTTGCCCAACGTTCATTTGAGTGGGGGAGACACTTTGATAAAACTTTCTGTAGAATCAGACAATTCTTCGTTTGTAACTTTGAGCACATCCATCAGTCCCGGGACAGCTTTTTAAGAGGCTAATGAGGAGAAAGATCCAGTTCATTTCACTGCCACGGAAAAACGGTCAGATGTAATCACCTAATGAGATCAATCTTTTAGACTACACGAACCTGCTGGGAACTTGGAGCAGGCGGGTGCTGGTGTTGCAGCCATCTGTCCACACCCCTCTCTTCGTCTTCAATCTTGCCAGGGACATGGATGCAATATACGGCGGATCAGTACATCGGAGGGCAACGCTTGTTCACGGACGCCTGGAGGAGAACGGAGCCTTGAGCGCGACCGCATTCGTTCCGCTCGCCGGAGACAGTGGGAGGCAAGAGTGGCGCAAGCACCGTAACCCTTCAGTGCGGACGCTGCCAAGTTATCGCGATGCCCGTCCGACACGCTGGGTCCTCCGCATGATCCTCAGTGCGGAGTGCTGACGAGGGGACTCAGCAGATGACGTTGCCTTGCGAGAGCGAGCGAGTCATCTCCGTGACGACAAAGAAGGTCTTGAGCTCTCCCTTGCCCTTCACCTTGATCATGCCGCGGCACTGGCAGTTGTAGCCGAGCGTCTGCAGGATGTCGCTCGTCTCCTCCGTGACCTGCACGCGCGCGCGCGCGCGCAGACACGCGCCGCGGCGACGCGGGGGTTAACGGGTTCGAGCGGGGTGGTGACGCGCGAGCCGACACGCACGCATCGCTCACGCCGCTGCAAAGTATCAGAATCAGACAATGAATTTATACCGGAGGAAAATCCGATGAGCTACAAAGCTCTTTTTTTTCCACAGATGTGCAGGAGGGGCGGGTAAGAACATTACAACGAACAATACAAAAACACGATAGGAGTGCAGAGTATAGGAAAGGTAGACTGTGGCCTCGCGAGATTGCTGTGGCGGCAGGGGCGATGCTGCCACAGGAATCTCTAAGCTGCATAGACCACTGCCAATGGAATTACATAGCTGGCCCTGTGTTGCCACTGGGGACGGGCACTGCCGTCAGTGCACGTGCCAGCGTGTGGAGATCGCACGAGCAATACATTGTCGCAACGCTCTTCCACACTACGCACTGAGATTTCACACCGCCGGTTAGCACGGTTGGCTACCTATGGTGCGAAAGAAGTTCAACATACATACATGAAGCGCTGTTGGCTTGGAACTCAGAACATTTCTCGTGAGCCTTCAACCTTTTTTTCTAATGGGCTAAATAAAAAAATCAAAGAATTGCGAGTAAATATTTGCCAATGTTATTGAGGCTCCTCAATTCTTTGGGGAGCGACTTTTCCATTCTTTATCAATGTTTGGCTATTGCACGCCTGGAATTACATTTGAGAAGGCAGAAAGAGGGACGCGTGGATTCGAGATTTTAAAACATCATTCAAAACGTTGCAGAAAGATGGACTTGGGTGAGACGTCGCCTAGAAGAAGGGATGATGCCTGATGGTCAAGAACAGAGGTTGAGTGGCAGCCAAGCAACGGGACGCATCGGAGACAACGTCCACCAATGGGGACCTTTTTACCAGAATCAAAAAATGATGTAAAAATAATAGGCTTTATCCCTTACTGGCAACAAACAAAGGAGGTGTTCAGATGTTCAGATGTTCAATCATCAAATAGATGTACATTGCAAGGCATCAAATCTGCATTAGTCACACATACCCGTGGCAAAGCATGCAGCAAACATACTCTGATAATGTATTCATTGTCTTGGAAACTGATTGGCCTGCGCCAGAGACAGCCGTCTTTTATGGCCTTGTCTAACCAGTGTTAGACCAGAGAATGGCAAAAGGTGAACAGTACAAAGGCAATGCAAGTACCAAAGCATTAATAGCTCAGGTTGAGCAATTATATATATTATCAGAGCATGTTTGTCCACAAATGTTAGGAATGATTTAATCAGCTCCTGTGTAGGTGCTCATATTCCCTGCCACTTTCCGCCCCTCCGCTCCTTCCCGCCCCTCCCCTGCCCATTCGGGACCCCTACGTGTGCCCTCTGTTATAGTCACTCATTCCTCGGCCCTTGCACTGCCCCTTGACATCTAAAATGTTCGTTACCGCTGTTTAAACTACGTAAAGCGCCTTCAGCTAAGGCTCTCTAAATTAATCTAAAATAAGGTAAGATAAGGTTGCATCGCAGAACTGTGAGGGATTGCGACTACTTTGGAAGAGGCCTTCCTCCAGGAGTGGAATGATCATGGTTGATGATGATGAGTAACGAGGTCAGGGATCATTACTCTGCCTCCAAACATGCCCCTTGAGCAAACCTGAATCTTCCCAAGCACCCCCGTGCTGTCCATGCGGCTGGACACGTTGACTGAGTTGCCCCAGATGTCGTACTGTGGCTTCTGTGCACCAATGACGCCAGCGATGACAGGGCCGTGGTTGATTCCTGAGGAGGATAATGCACAGGGCACACGGTTCCAGCATGAGATACATCGCAAACCAACCAAAAAAACAAATAGCCCGTATCTTGCAGCTGCATACTTGGGCTGTGTGTTTCCAGGCTGTGTTGCAAGAGGTTTTAACCGTCATTTGTGGCTCAGCGAGATTATCAGGCATTGTCTGGAAAGACAATGTGACCAATCATCTTCTTTCGCACGTCTGCTGATGTAGATGCAGAGCAACAACTACAATGTCACATTCAGGTGGTCAAGCCAGATAACAGCGCCAGGAGCAGCGAAGTGAATCGCTGCGATGTCTCCTTCGTATTTGTGGATCCAGCATTGCATCATTATATGTTGTTACGGTCCTGTTCTGGATGACCACAGTCGCAGACTGGATAGTTTTTATCCGCATCTGCCATGGTTTGTGCAGTGGATGCAGTTTAGGGTGCACCATGAGTTTCGTGGAAGATCAAAACCAGGGATATCCTTCTGTGTTGGGTCTTTCAAAGACAAATCTAAGTTGTTGTTTTCAATTGGATGAACATGTGGTTTGTAATAGGATACAAATCTGGAGGACAGTCGAGCCAGACTCGTGCCTAGGCAACACTAGTCACTTCCCAAGGAGTGGAATGCCCAGCGTAATGTTATTTTTCACCTGACGTCCCCAAAGATTTGGAATGAAAGCCTTTGGTACTTCACATGATTTATACTCGCTGCTCTCACCCTAAGTAAGTGTTATTTCCTTGTAGAGTTGTCTGTGTGGAGCATAATTGGTTGTGAGCTCTAAAGAACGAAGACTTACATGTTTATCGGCATGTAATAACGTGCCTCACAGTATTCACTCACTCTCGGACGAGCCAGAGAGCGACCCAAAAGTCACGAGGAACTACAGATGAGCGGGAAAGGCAGCCCAAGCTGTGAGCCGGTGAAAATATAATCCTCTAAGATCTGGAGTCCTCCGTAAATTAAGGTGTTATCGGCCAATTAAGGTGTTTCTGGAGTGACTGGATTGTCCTATTACTTACGGAGTGTGACCATTGAATGGAGTCGAATGAGGCTACGATTGGCACGGTTGGCTATGTATGGTGAAAAAAGGTTCAGTATACATAAATACACATATCATGTGTGGGCTGAAGTGGTCAAGGGGAGAGGCGAGTGTGAGTGGGGCCTGGGAGGATGTCGCACCAACTCGCAGTCGGAAGTTGTTGAACGAGTGTTTGTTGATGACGTCCAGTTTCCCCATGAGAGCCATGGCAAACTCCACCATGATCCCGATGTGTGCGTACTGCCGTTCTGGCTCCTAGCCACAGAGAAAAGCACGCACATTAGACGAGCAGGCACACACACACACATAAAGATCCCCCCCCCCCTTGTGTAGCCTACATAGACTGTTGGGGCAAGTGCTGTCAGCGAGCACCTATGAAGGCCGGCACGGTACACGAGAGGTCGGTGTGACAAACACCCCGCCCGGCCACACACTCATTTAAGGCTGTGTTGACCTAGGGGAAGCCCAGGACATGTTCAGATATCACAATGATGTGCCAAGGACCAAACCAGGGTCATTGAATTCGTAGCACGGTGCACTTACCACTACGATAAAACACAAATACCCACATATACTGTACATGTATGTATCCTCTATACACTTTAAACACATCTGTACAGTTGATTTTTGGGTCAGATCACAGAAGTAAAATGTGCGTCGTACACCCTCCTCCACCCGACACGACTAATTCATGAAACTGACACGTGAACATGTCGTTGAATTTCTTCTTTAGCAACTAATTGAACACAAAAAGCAGTTTTAAAGAAACGAGTATTTAATTTTGATTAAAAATAACACGTACCAATTACTGCTTCAGCACTACCGGTGTGCAGGAGAGCAATCTCATGACACTTAACGATTGGGGTGCTGTACCCATTTGTTAAACCTCGTTCACGTGACAACTTCATTCATTCTCCGTGTCAGTTGGAGGAGGATGTGACGACACGCATTTTCACACCCGCGACATGACCCACGACCTCAACCACGAACCACGTCCACCGTGTATGTATTGCTTTTATGGCTTTACTCTTTGGTTCTATTCGGTAAAGTCACGTAGGTAAAAAATAAAACAACAAAAATCACGACGTTTCGGCCACAACACAAGTGGCCTTCATCAGGTGAAGGGGACCATACTGTCACGAGGACAGCGTTGGAGTGAAGACAGTCCAGCCCAGGTCACGTCCTTTTAAGCCGTGTGGGAGGAAACAAAACGCTTTGACAAATGAATTAGAAACTTGTGTTGTGGCCGAAACGTCGTGATTTTTGTTGTTTTATTTTTTACCTACGTGACTTTACCGAATAGAACCAAGGAGTATGGATCCTTGCAGTCACGAAAGCTTCCAATCTATAATTTTATGGCTTTATTTTGGTGATGTCGAAAACGTTTTTTGGTTTGGCCATGTTTGTTTGTTGTTGTACGGAGTTAGACTTATAGCCTTAATCTAAGTTGTCTTGTGGTTATTGTTGTTTGACTTGCATCCCACTGGGATTTTTGCACACAGCGTTGGTGTACGGTGCTTTTTCTGGAATATTTTGCTGTTTTTTTTCCTGGATTTTCTGTTTGCACAGTCACATAGTCACTTTAAGATGTTTTCTTGTTCGTGTTTTTGTTTTTTGTTTGTTGCAGTTGCACCAGATTCAAGAGCCGAATGGCTCACAGGGCTATACCAAAATAAATGAAACTGAAATGTATGTTGAACTTCTTTCGAACCGCCCAACATAAATACATTCATTCACGGTGGACTGTGAGGCAAGCGGCGCTTCGTGCTCCGACGTTGAACTCCTTGAGCTGCAAACCTCTGCGACGAGCGGGCAACGCGCCCATTGCTCGGCCGTGCCCACAAGCCCGGAGATCTGCTGCCGTAGCCGGAACATAAAAAGAAAGTACTCGCCTGCCCATTCTCTTGCCCCACCGCAGCGTTGAGCCCAGTGGCAGCCATGTAAGTGCTGCCTATCGTCTTTATCTTCTCTACGCCGCTGAACTTGGGCTTGGACAGAAGCTGCAAGAGAGGACGTAAATAGTAATAAAGAGGGTCACGCTTGGAACCTGCGAACACACAATCGCCCGCGTACATCGCTCAACGGTGTAAGGTAGTGATTTTGTCTCGGACAAGATATCTATGAAGCTTCGATTAAAAGGGAGTCAGCGGGGCGGTGGTGGCTGAGCACGTGAATGTATGTATCACAATCACACTCATTATGTTGAGTGTGGTGGTGAGCGTGGTGGTAAGGTGCCGCGGTGGCAAGATGTTAACTGCCTCGCCTGGTATATAGGAGGTCGTGGGTTCGATCCCAACCCTGTCGCCTGTATATTTGGAGGACACATGGTCTCCCCGTGGTCGCATAGATTTTTCACCTCCACATTTAGAAACATGCGTTTCGAGTATTTGGCTGCGATGAATCTGCACGTGATAAGCCATCTCGTTGACTCATTTGTGGCGAGCTACGATATAGCTCAGTGGGCCGTTCCTAGCAAAATACAAATAGGAGAGAATAGAAACATTTAGAGGTTTGCTTGGAACTTGTGAAAAAAATTTCCACGAAATATAACTCAGCCCATCGTTAATCCACCGTTGGATGGAGACCATCCCGTGCCGTGTCAGTCATGGGGGTGTTAGTCATGCTAATACTCACCAACGGTCTTCACCATGGCCAGGGAATCTAACTCAGGTCAGTGCCCTATATTCTGCACCACCACCCCAAATACTTACGATAACATTTCAATTGGTTTAACCGCCAATTCGAAAGTAATGTTTGCCTCTTGAACGCACCGGTCAGCCGAACGTGCAACGTGCGTTGTGCACCCGCCTATTCAGCTGCACTTGGGACGCGATTGTTAAATGCATGACTGAGATTCGACTGCAGCTCTGTTAGGAGGTGTGGTGAGAACGGACCTCGTCAAAGTCGGCTATGATCTCGTTGAGGAGACGTAGGCACTCCAGGCCCTCTTTGTTGACGTCCGACTCCTGGTAGAACTCTTTGAAGTCGGGGATGGAGGCGAACATCACGCAGACGCACTCGTACGACTGGTGGTAGAGGTCCTGTCGTAGCAGAGCAGACGCACCACCCATCGCCTGCTCGTTAGGTTCGAACTTACGAGGTAATTACCGACTGTTGAAGCGTTGCATTCACATACTCCGTCAACACCTGGGTGGTTCTCACCTCCGTTGGCACTCTAGAGAGATAGTTGTGGACATTCCACATTACCATGGTGTTGATTGCGTAGACGTGAAATTATGTATAGAATAATGATGATCCAGATTAATTTGATGATCATGGCTAATTGATGGAAGATTTGATTCATTGCACGATAATAATTAGATGACATGGATTTATACATGGTTGACTTTTACAGGCATGTGATGATAACGATGTTGGATAGATGAGGGTTTGATCGTGACAAATATAAAATGAGCTAGTAGTTTGGTGCCACGGTGGTGAGATGTTAACTACCTCGCCTGGTATACAGGAGGTCGTGGGTTCGATCTTAACCCTGACGCCTGTATATTTGGAGTTTGCATGTTATCCCTGTGGATTTTTCTCCGGGTCCTCCAGTTTTCCCCTCCACATTTTGAATCAACATCACGCATTTAAAGTATTTGGCTGCTATACATTTCCACAGGATAAGCCACTTCGTTGAGCTATCACTTGTGGCCAGGTCGCTTGTGAAAAAGAGTTATATAGCTCAGTGGACCCTTACATATAGATAACTGATGGGTGATCAGGGGATGGTGATAACAATGGTGCTGAGTTAAACTTGGTAAGGAATTGTACTTGCTCAGGCAGTACACATACCAAAATTGGAATGACACAGAGACTATGAGCATGGCCCCCGCGCAAGGATGCGACGCAAATTCGTGAAGCGTTCCATAACAACAACAACAACAACAACAAAAAATGCTTAGGAATCGAACTCATGGCCCCGGGGTCTGCTCCACCCAAGATGCCACCCCACGCGTCACCTCGTTCTTGCGGTGATGGGTGAGGAAGTGCTCTGCCACGTGCGCGGGCAGAACGTTCTCCAGGAGAACTCGGTTCAGATTCTCCATCGTTTCGATCTCCTCGCGCTCCTTCTTGAACTTCTGCTTCCACAGGAAGTCGAGCCGGCAGTAGTACTCGTTCTGGAGGGGATTGGGGCCGCGTGGAGCGTTCACAGGCAAGCACGCACCAACAACACGTCTCACCACTGCTGAAACATTCCTTGACCCCCACCCAAATTCCACAAGCCTATGGCAGGTGGCTGGGTTTTCTGTAGAACGACCGCCGTTGACTTCCCGCGAAGCGGTGCTCACTTTGTGCGCTGAGTCCACCCAAAACCAGGATTCGAATTTGTAATTATCAGGTTGCCAGTCGAGCTCTCTAACCATTGAGAGCGTGGCGATTTGACAAGTGAGAAGTTAAACTACATTACCAGAGGGGGTGAGGGGGGAATGTGGGGAGGAGGGCCCATGAGGGGTGGGGGAGTGGGCAGGGGTCAGGCTGAGATGACTCTGCAGATGTGATAATCTATTATATATATTTTTAATAATCTATCTACAATACATTTGTAATGTACTGATGTTATTTTAGTGATAAATAGTAAGTGTTCATACATTTTACCATTTTAATTAAGTATATTGGCTTTTACATCACTATCCTATCTTGTTTCAGTCACGAATGACTGCAATAAACATTTTTAATTATGTTTTTTCACTTTTTTGAACCAAAAATATACCAGCCTTTGTGACTTAAAATGTCTGGTTTCAGTGTAATTCCCCTGTTGGAGAATGCAGCTTCCCAAATGTGGATAGGTCATGTGAAGGGAGCTCAGACGTTGTTCTTCGATATATGCTTGCGTGGGCCACCCTTCCCCGTGGCGAGATGCAAGAGTTTCCAATGAATATTCTTTCATCTCATTATCTCATGCCAATGGCAACATTTAGAATCAATTTAGGAAAAAGAAAATCGACTTTGCAAGCAGCTTTATTGTGCATTTCGACAAGAGTTAATATTGTCAAACATGCAATACATTCACTCGATATATCATGCATCCTGCTGCTTTAGGACTCAAAATAATCACATTCAACGCGTTACGTGAGAAGCAAAAACCAAACTAAAATATGCACCGTATAGTTAAACCGCTGTAGTGTGTACTCCTTCAACAGAGGAGAAATAGCAAAACGATCCCAATGCTCTCCTGAAGCCCCCTCATGGCTGGTAGACCTCGACGTTGGCATTGAACTCCTACACATATTGCTGCTGCCATACGCAACAACGCAATAGCGAGAAGCAGGAGGCCTAGATTTGAACCCAGGACCTCAGCGGCGACGGCTCTGTCCTCTGACGACGTAAGAACTGTCCGAGCCACTCAGCCACATCTCATCCAAGCAACAATCCCTCGCTGAATCCCCATGGTCCTGCAGACGATTGCCCTGCTCCAGCTGCCACGTGACAGAGATTTGACAGGCGTGGCTCACCAGGGTCCCAGCTTTGGCCCTCGGCTCATTATCGTCATTACAGTGAGCAGCGGGAAAATATTTGAAGAAAAAATGAAAGAATAGGCGTTACCCGTTCTGGCAATAAAAAACAAGAGTTGTGTTAAGATGTTCAAACACCAAATAAATACCTATTGCAATGCATCGAGTCTGCATTAACCACACGTACTTGCGGAAAAAAACATGCAAACAAACATGCTCTGATAATGTATGCGTTGTGTTTGAAACTGATTGGCCTACAACAGAGACAGCCTTCCTTATGGCCTAGTTTCAACATTGTTAGACCGGAGAATGCCGTAAGGTGAACATTACAAAGGCAACGAAAGTATCAAAGTATTAATAGCTTGGGTTGAGCATAGATAGAATATTGGAAGTCGTATTTCTGTGGCCTTCCTCAAGAGATTTAAACATTTTGCCATGGCGCCCCTGATTGAATTTGTATCCCTGTCCATCAGGTCCGCTTAATTTTCCACCACTGTGCCTGAACTTTGTGACCCCAATTGCCTCTTGGGAGCACATCACGAATGACGCGTGATGAGGGGAGAGATGGAATAAAAATAATCGCGATGGGTTTATTGATTCATTGAGCCGTGCAAATGGATGGATCAGGAGAGTTATTGTGCGATATGTGAAATTCATTGTAATGAAATAACCCGATCACATGAAGAAATACTTTACAAGCAATCGGAATGATACCATGAACGTAGACTTGTGTTTTTCTTTTCCTCTTTAAAAAAAAATCAGACGTAACTAATTTTAATTAATCACCGTTACCTTAAGAATTTATGCTGTCTCATTTACTTCACTATTTATATTAGCAACAATGTCAACATTGAGTCGACCTCATAACTTCCCAAACTTCATGTTAGATTTCTCTTCCCACCACGGTGCAGACTTCCATCATATATGTTTCAAACTTTTCTCACTTTAAGAACGATAAATGTTTTTTTTCTCCGAATCTGCAATGTCAGGAAAGAAAGCAATCTGCATTTGGAACTCATGCAGCAAGCAATGCATCGCCTTGCATGATAAAACTAGTTCTGGAATCCATAAACTTGGTCTTTTATCCACACTATGCAGCACACATTTATATATCGGAATTAAAATCTTTATTTATCCTGGAATAAATCCGATGAACCATGAAGCTCTTTTTTCACAAATGTCCAGTATTATGAGTGAATCACAAAGAATATTCATTGCATAGCAGTCAACTTCCGCTTGATGCGACGTTGTTGCCTCTCCTCTGCTGCCCCCACGATATGGAACTCCCTTCTCCCCCAGCCATGCAATCCGTAACTCGCCGATCTGCATATGAGCTATGACGGAAGGTGAACGTGGGGAAAGGTGGAGATTACGTACCTGTCTAGCGAGCACCAGCAGCGTGAAGAAGAACACGATGAGCCAGATGGAGCCCATCACCTTGACGTCTTTGAGAACGCCAGGCCTGGAGCATAAGCAAGGGGCAGTGAGGGTAGCAGTGATGGGTGACGCAGGAACCTCCATTGTTCCGTGACCGTACACTCATTACACACAAAGAGCTTGCCACAAATCAACCACAATACATTGCTGCTCTCATACAGGAGCATAAACCATCACGCAACCTCTGGTCATCCTCGCAGCAGCAGCAGCAGCAGCTGCTTTTTGGCTAATCATCGAACAAAGAAAGTCACTGCATTGCGCGCTTTCAGATGCACTTCTGCGGCTGTCTGGCATGCTCTTCCTTCCGTTATTTGGAAGCCACTGGAGCTCTGCACTTTTCAATAAAGATTGAAAACTATATTCTTTCAAACTGCTTTTTGTGTCCAGTTGTCCTTCCCCCCACACCTCCGATTAGCACGGTTGGCTGCGTACGGTGCGAAAGAAATTCAACATGCACACATACGATCGGGTGCAATGCCATCACGTTGTCAAGAAACAACGTCAATCTACGGGTCTTGCAGCTGCACTCCAAATTTGGCTCTGGAAGTTAAGAACAAAACTGGAAATGTAATCTCTCACACGCTGGCTTGCAGCTAAATGAAGGAGTGCCGCCATTAGCGAGTTCAGGTCCCCCTCCATGCGCCAGGCTCCGGAGACGAACACCGAGCAGCTGACAGCAAAGTGTTGTGATGTAGGAAGGCGAGCGACCTTCAGTGGCGGCTGTGATGAGACAAGAGGGTGCTATGGCGCTCAACCTCAAAAGTCATGCGGCTGTAACTTAAAATATATTTTTTTCTCATGAACAAAGCTGACAGCCTATGTATGTTAAACCTCTTTCGCACCGTACGTAGCCAACCATACTAATCGGAGGCGCGATTTGCACGGTTGGCTACGCATCACACTAATTATTTAAATCACAGCACTTTGTTAATCCGCCTCTCAATGTAGGCCTCCCCAGCTACGGGGTTCTTACACCATAATTTTCACCACACTGGTCAGTCAGTCCAGGATGCTGTGTCGACAGAATAAGAGTCGATTTTAGTTTTATTGGGGTTGCGTGGGGGAGGGGATGTGATGGATGTCAGGAAGATTACGGACAGCAGAGTCATTAAACAAATGGCATAAATCAAAGCATGAACACAGCTGGGATGCGACTGCCCAGTTGGCAGCGGCAACTCTTCTGTGATAAGAGAAAGCAGAGGAGAGTGCCAAGGCAGATAACACCACGATTTGGCACAGCGGGGGTAGCAGGTGGTGCATCTTTCCTTCACCCTAGCGCCTTAACCCACAACACCTGGGTCTGTCCTGTGATCTCCTGCCAGCGAGTACCTTCCATCTCTGGCATGGCCTCAAAGTAAAACCGTGCCTGCCACGTGCACCGTACTGATGGGGGGGGGGGGTGGAAAAAGTTCAAGTGGAAGAGCAACGAAGCAAGATACAGCATCCCACGTGTAGCAATGATACGCGGCTGCACGTCGCAATGTCTACACACCTGTAGAGGAGGGTAACTGTTGCCGTAGTGTTACCAAACTGATTACCAAACTGATTACCAAACTGGAATTGCAAAACACGGAGGTTGCCGGACGAATTCGATTTTCCAGCGCGGCATTTAAAACGACGGAGGGAGTTTGTGAAATCTCCCCCACCGCCTCTGTCTACCCGGCAGTACAAATGGGTGATTCTGGACATACAGTACCCTGGTGTCTACAAACTAAGTTGCCTCTGTGGTAGTAGTTACATTGGAGAAACCAAACGACATGTCTCGGACCGCATTCGTGAACACAAAGCAGACCTTAAACACGGTAGGACCAACACCTCGGCCGTGGCAGATCACTGTTATAATTCAGTAGGCTCACATGACATTGACTTCTCCAAGACAGAGGTTATTTGCAAGCCATCGGGCTACCATGAGAGATTCGTTCATGAGCCTATCCACATATACAAACACAGAGACAATTTCAACCGAGAAGATGGATTATGGCTTAGCAATCATTGGAAGGATTTGATAAACCATTTCGGGTCTTAATTGATTGTTCACGCTTACAGTGGCTTTCAGACAGCATACATTAATTTTTCGTCTCCCCCCCTCCTCTTTTCCGAACATAGATGGACTCGTCCATCTGAATAACTGCCAAATCGCTATCCGTGGTGCTAACGCGTATAAATAAATACAAACCGCCCTTCTTTCAAATGTTCTTTTCATTGGTTTTCACACCTGATGATGACTGCTTGTGTTGCAGTCGAAACGTCGTGATAATTTTAATTGTTTTATATATTTTATTGTTTCCTTTCAACGTGACTTTACCGAAAGAACCAAGAATATGGGTTCACCACCGTTATACGAATCAGCAGGTCACGCGGCGTGGGGAAGAGGTGGGGGGAGGGGTAAAGTGTGGGTACTCGCACCTCTTCCAACATGTCTGGTTATGTGGAAGAGTAGACCAAATACCCTCGAGACTTTGCTGTAAGTGGAGGCCCTTCCACAAGCAGTGAACCTCATGCATGCTTCCAACTGTGTTGCCTATTCACCTCTCCAGGCCTTGCATCGTTGCATTTGTTCCCTGTCTCGAGACAAGTGGAATTCAACATCATGCTGGTTGTAATTTAGGGCTTGCGCGGCGCTAGCTCGACCCCATTCAATCTTGTGCCCCCTTCAAGTTCTTTAAGATATGCCGACGGTGTCCTTCGCGACGAACCTCGATCTCGGCTGAGCTGTTGGGGTGATCGGCCATTCGCTGTGATGCCCCTCAACAGTCGTCAGTTGTGGAACTCCCTACTACTGGCCTGCCCCCCCCCTCTCTCTTCTCCCCCATACTACGTCTTATTCAAACAGCGGCTTCGTTCCTCTGCCACCCCGGTTCCTTCTCTCCTACGCACGAGGCCTTGAGGACTTTTAGCGAAAAGGCGTCGAATCAGCGCAAACGATTTGTGACTGCGTCGTAGATCACCCCCACCGCCCCACGAATGAGGCCGTGTGGACTTTGGACGATTGGTAAAACGGCAGGCCACCTGCTCAGGTGTGCCGTCTGATATAATCCCATTGTTCCTCGGCCTTGTTTTTGTTTTAAAATTGAACAATAGGGGGCTCATGGTAGGCAGGAGAGAAGTGGGTTTGGATGGTAGAGTGAGATGAGATGATACTGAAGATGGAAATTTTGGGTTCAACGTTACAGATGAGGCCCCTCCCCACCAACGATTTCGCGTAGACATCTGTGAGCTTGACGGCTCATCGGATTCCGGCAGTATAAATACAGGGTGCTTAAAAAAATGTTTTTAATGCTTATATGGGACTATTGTTTTTATGGAAAAATAACGGATAATAAAATACACTCTGACATGATAAGAGATGTACGTGATTAGCTTTAAAAAAAGTCAAAGAGTCACCACTTGTTCGCTAACATTGTCAACACGTGCCTGGAATCTTCTCCAGGTGCTCTCCAGAGCCCGGAGGAGACGCATTTCCAGTGGCACTGTTGCAAATTCTCCGAAGAGTTAACATTTTTTTATTTGAAGCGCCCTGTTGTTTCCGATTCCGTGACGGGGCAGCAAACGTCGTCCCGCGCGCCCCTGCGAGCGCGTGAGCTTGCGTGTGCACGAGCGAGCGAGTGAGCGAGCGCTGACCGCACGAGGCTGGGGTGGTAGAGCGCCTCGGTGTAGGCGTCGAACACGCCGTGGTGCGTGTGCAGCAGGATGACGTTGTAGCCCACGACGGCGGCGAGCAGCGTCAGCACCTTGAGCTCGTGGTTGACGCGCAGGAACACGGAGCACGACACCAGGCCCAGGATGCAGCTGTACAGGAAGTACTGAGCACGCGGAAGGGAGCGGCAAAGCGACGAGTCGTTGCCTGAAGTCACTTCTCTTCGCTAGCCCACCGGCGGTCGCTCACCTCCTTGTCACTCTTCTATGGCGACTGCTGCGGTTGCTGCTTCCGTTAACGTCCCTTATCGAGTCCTCCGCCCGTGTCACCATACGTAGCCAACCGTGCTAATCAGAGGTGGCAACCGTGTTCAACCAACAACTACAGCACTGCAGATCACAACCTGCCTCTTTCTGCTTCTTCCCTTGGGAGTTAATGCTTAAAACACCACTATTTGAATCATTACTAAATGATAGTTCTGTTCCTGCGCTCCCTCGCCAAATTATTCTGCCAATCATGTCCAGATAATGCAGACGGTTTGAGGACTGCGAGGGAGGGTGGAGGGTGAGAGATGGGGGAGGGGTGTGGCGAGAATGTATTGAATCCCCACTTCATTTTAATTTTAAAATTGAGTGCAGTAATTTTTCCTGAAATAAAATGAAGTGGCAGCGTTGGCTCAGGAACTGAATGCGCATCAGAACACTGGAGACTGGGGGGGGGGGGGGGTTTAAGTCCGGGATTCTGATCAGGGTTATGATAACAGCAGATGCTTAAGTGATGGCCAGTCACGAGGAATAACAGAGTGCTCCTGTGCGACTATATTTATATTGCACATGTACACACATGTGTCAGTCCACTGCTGGATGAGGGTCTCCCCATGCCATGTGGGTCGTGGGGGTTATTTGACCATACTTCACCACAACATGTACGAGGGGGAAACACTCTATCCCATACAGACAGAGCAGGTGGAGTCCACATTTTGCTGTACCACTTTCTCCTGAAGAGCCAGGGCATGGACACCTCCTCGACACTGATAAGAAGGGAGTTTCGCAACATTCGCATGATCCACCCTCACCTCCGAAGTGCAGGATTACAGGGCGAGATGTTAACTACCTCTCCTGGTATACAGGAGGTCGTGGGTTCGATCCCGACCCTGACCCCTGTCTATTTGGAGTTTGCATGTTCTCCCCGTGGTTGTGTGGATTTTCTCCGGGTCCTCCGGTTTTTCTCTACACATTTAGAATCAACACACGTTTAGAGTATTTGGCTGCTACACATTCCCTCATGATAAGCTATTTCACAGGGCTATCGTTTCTGAAAAAGAGCTATTTAGCTTTTTTTATAAAAAAAAGAGCTATTTAACTCTTTTTGAGAACCTGGTAAAATAAAAAAAATTAGTTTAAATAGCTTAGTTTACAGCCCATCTCTTCCCCTTTGCCCGCGCCGCTTGCGCCATGTGCTGCAACGCGTGGGGTTGTGTGAGGAGCCCACCGGCAGGTAGAAGTGTTCCCTAGCGCTGCTCACGCTCCTGAAGCCGCTGGCGTTGGCGCTGGAGCTGTTGTCGGTGACGTTCTGCCAGGTGGGAGACTCCACGGCCGGTGAGAAAAACTGCCAAACGGACAACGGCGGCAATCGCGTTACACGGGGACAACTCGGAGCCCATCCAACACGTGTGAGAGACACGTTTCTTAATTTTCAGTGGCAAGTTTGGCTCAATACTTTTCGGCTTCGTCCATGACGGAGCACGGAGACAGCCAGACATGAAAAGGGGCGGAGGGGGGGGAGGTGAACAGGGGTGTATTTGTACTGGTTGGTCCCTGAGCTATGGCCCCAGAAAGTTACAAGCAGATGTATTCCCTCTAATTGACTAATTAATGTATTCATATTGTTGATATACACTCCGCATTACTGTCATTAACATGAAGTAAAATGGTGACACATTAACAATACAATGCAAACTGAACCAATTGCAATGGTGAAAGAGTCGCGTACATGGCGATGTAATTGTGTGTTTCATATCTCAGTTACCCTTATATAACAGCTATAATGAAACAAGAATGACTGTATGTGTGTAACGCGCGTGACGTCACTCCACATGCCGCACCCCCAGAAGAAAGTCGAGCAGAAATATTTTTTTCGCAAATTCGCTTTAAGTTTGACGTTTCTTTCTTGAAAGTGAATCTAATAAATAATTATACGCAGCAACAAAGTGGATTTGGTGTCTTTATTTATTTCTTCAGCACTTGAGACAAAAGGCAAGTCTACTTTATGCTTCTACATTATGGTAAAATAGACATTTCTCGGTGATTTTCCAGATATTGTATCGATTGCCAATTTATTTCAACCCCAGCAACCGAAAGCAGAAGAGAATAAAGTATCAGAGCAGTGAATTTAAACAAATTGAAGGTCAGTTATATACGGTGCTACAGAGACATGAAGTGAGGTGTTTTATGACGTAGTTTTGTGCTAGAATCACTGCCATTAATACAGTGCTACAGTGAACTGCAGTGAAGTGTTTGATGACATACTTTTGTGCAAGATTCACTGCCATTAAATTTACACAATACAATTATACTCTGCTCTATTTTTTCGTAAATATTACAGCTTCCATCCTAGGACGGGCAAAGATGCTAGTGAATATTAAAATTATCCAAGCCTGGATAAAGTTGAGAACAGCGGTGGGGGGTGAGAAGGGAGGCATCATCATCATCATTGTGAACCGGGCCCCCACATTTTTCTCCAAGGACAATAAACGCTGGGCTCGATTCAAGGGCTGCGAAGCTAAGGTTATAAAGGTTGCAATGGTCCACCCAGCATTGATGATGAGCACAGCACACGAGGTACTAGTTTTAGTCTGAATCTACCTTGGATAGGCCCAGACCAGGATCAGATACCAATTGGTGTTGATGTGTATCATGACAGGAGTTGAACCCACGACGATGGGTTCATCATAGAGGGCACATCACAACTGTCCATACACTCAAAACTCTCCATATACTAGAGGCCACGTGCACTAATTGCAGTTCCACCTGGCCAGATTGCCACAATGAGACTACTCATATTTATTCACAAAGATCCCCGTATAGCCTTAACAGACTGTTGGGGAAAATACTGTTCGGCACTGTGGCACACAAGTGGGTGGGTAGCCAGCACCATACCCGGCCGCTTTTTACATCCCGAATAGTGATGTTTAAACAATTCCCCAGATGCAAATTTTTGTGCTTCAGTCGACATAGGGTAGGCCCAGGACTGGTTTAGATAATCGTCACTTGTGTTGGCCGTGAGTGGAAATCGAACTCAGGTCACCAAGTTTGTAGCGCAGTGAGCTAACCACTACACTTCCACTCCACACAACATATATACAGACACACACAGCTTACCCTACGTGTGTCCGTACAAATATAAAATGTTGGAGCAGTAGCACCATGGATAGCGCACTGTGCTATGAACCCAGATACCTGAGTTCGATACCAGGCCATGGCTAACATCAGTGGCGGGTAATATCAGAACCGGTGCTGGGCTCCATACCTTCACCAACTGTCACTGACCAGGATGATGAAGTACAACCAAACAACCGCTGTGACTGACCTTCATCAGTGGACTTACAAAGGGATGTAAACTATTAGTTTCACTACACCAATACCCTGACGGAAACGCACTTAACGCGCACGCACGTTCACGCGCGCAACGCGACAACGGCACGGGCTTGGGCTCCGCTAAAAAAAAAAAAACGTGTCTATTCCCTCGACGGCCCAGGAGCCCCTCCGGCAGACGCACCATGTTGAAGATGGCCATTGTGAGGATACTGCCCATGGTAACCATGGTGAGGGCCAGGCGCAGCCAGGGCTTCTCCTCCACCGTCGCCGACACGGAGAGCATCCACGTGAGCGATGGCGACGCCTTGCGGCTGCACTGCTGCTCCGGGGCGGCACCGCAAGAGCGACAGTTGGGTTACATTCAGAATCAGAAATGGAAGTGTTTGTTTACACCGGGGGAATCTGATGAGACATGAAGCTCTTTTCACAGATGTTCGCGGCATTCCTACAGCGCCAGGGTCTCGCGAGGTGCTTCCATGTTTCACAGACGGGTACAGCCTGTCCATCGGGAACGGATATCGCTACGTGTTTTTTTTTTCCAAATTGAGTAACTGTTTGAGTAAGTTGCACGCGTGCATATTGCGGACTGTGATGCCGGCACACATGGCCTCCCTTCTTTTTGTAGTAATGCAACGGGATCTTAACAACATCCACAATTAAGCGGACAGCACGAAGTAGCGTTTTTTGTTATCATTAATACGCCCACAGTATTATTCAGGGTGGCCAATGTGGTCGCATGGCAAACCTCTGCAACAAGCGGCGAATGCGCTACCACGGGGCCAAGTGCCCTTCCCGCACGCACAGGCAGTGCAAACAGTGGCCGTAACCCATCGACACCCATGCAACGGAGGTCGCCCCTTCTCCTCTGCTGCCCTCACAGTCTTCAACCACCCTTTCCCCCCTGACTACTATCTGCACCCTCAGTTGAACTCTTCCCCCACCGCGCACCTCTAGGAATCACAGGCGTTGTTTCGAGCTGGCGGAGCTTAGTACTTCCCCCAGCAGCCGTAGCCAACTCCCTTGCAGCATAACAAAGAAGGTCAGTAATCGGCTTAACTTACTCTTTGCTTGTAGTGTATAGTGGTGTTTTGTATAGTAGTGTATAGTGTAGTATATTCTGTGGTGTATAGTAGTTTAGTGTATGGTAGTATATTGTGCAGTATATACCTGTGTATAGTGTAGTGTATAGTAGTGTATTGTATATTAGTGTATTGTTGTAGTGTATTCTATAGTATATAGTGTAGTGTATTGTGGAGTGTATACCAGTCCCATTCCCGAGCGTACACGCAACGCTCACTCACTCCTGGTTCTCCCCCGCTACTGTTCCCCTACCGCGCACTCTAGGAATCACCGCCTTTTAACTTCTAGCCCATGCCCACCTATCTCCACCCCTCTATCACCCTCTCTGCCTTATATAACCTTCCTAACTCCGGCATCTCTCCCACTTCAGTAATACATTTTCTTGCTGTGGTTGTCACACCTGATGATGAATGCTTGTGTTGCAATCAAAACGTCGTGATTTAATTTAGTTGTTTTAATTTATTTTATTTTTTACCTACGTGGCTTTACCGAAAAAAACAAAGAGTAAAAAAACAAAGAGTATGAACTCCGGATAAATTCTGCACACGAAGCTGCCACTGTAGAATCTGGATTTGAATATGGATTTAACTGACGTGCATTTAAACTGTTGTTAAGTATAATAATGATCATAATTTGGATTCACAATAGCATCTTCATACTATAAGCATCTTCAGATGCTGTACGGGAAGAGCTATTTATTTCAAATAATGTGGACGAAAACCCAAAATCATCTAAACTAGCCACAGTAACCGAGAACACTACAGTAAAACACAATGAAGTTCATATTCTTGGTTCTTTCGGTAAAGTCACGACTTTACCGAAAGAACCAAGAATATTAATCACTGCAGTCCCGAAAGCTTTCAATCAAAATTTACAATGAAGTTCAGTTTACATTACGTACAATATTTGAAGCCAAAACACAACTATCCGACCGCTCATATTCAAAACATATTCCTCTAAGTGAACCCTATTCAATGGGTTACCACAATCACTCGCGGCCAACTCCGAGTGGCCTGAAACGGACGTACACTCAGAGGCAGAGGAAACGTCAGTGGCACGGCTGGCAGGAGGAAGGGAATCCCCTTACTGCAGGGGTGGCCCAAAGGGGGAGGTGGAAAATCTCCCCATGGAGCGGAGGTTGAGAATTGGAGGTGTTTCAGACAGAGGTCAGCACACATGCGGGGCTTTAACGCCCTGAGAACGATTGTTTGAGGGGCGCTTTATTCGTTTCTATTGTTATTATTACAGTGAGCGAGAAGGTTTCAATAGGTGTTGGTTATTCAAGTAAAGTTATGAAAAAAGAGGCTTTAACATTTCCAGCAATAACACAGGTGTAAAGATGTTCGGACACCAAATACACACCTATTGAAAGGCATTAGGCCTGCATTAACCACACATGCTTGTGGTAAAACATGCAAACAAACGTGCTTTGATGATGTATGCATTGTCGTTGAAACTGGCCAGAGACAGCCTCGTTTATGGCCTTGTCTGGCCAGTGCTAAACCAGAGAATGCCAAAAGCGAACAGCACAAACAATGCAAGTATAAGAACACGTATAGCTCGGGTTGAGTAGTTATATCAATGGGATATGGTCCCATAGATCAGATAAAATGGTATAGAAATATTTAGTATATATTCTTAAAAATGTGTTATATTTCACTTAAGAGCAAAAAGACATGGACGTTTATACAGATAACTTAATTTCCGTGAAAATATGTTCTCTCAACATGAGGATTAGAATGGCAACTAACGTTACATTCGTGTAGAGAAATCTCATTAGTTACAAAACAATGGCACGTTAACTTTTTTTTTACGCACACGGGCACAATGTACTGATGCCGACTAAAACGTTCCGTCTGATAAGACGAGCGACAAGCGCCTGAAAAGCCGCTGGTGGTTACACTTACGAGCAGCTGCCCAACGACGCAGACGCAGAGAATGAACCCGAGAAGGAGGAAGACCACCCCGTACGATATCCCGAGCTCTGCTGTCCTGTTCACCCAGGGGAGCACAGACGGCAGGGTCTCACGCACACGTGCAAAGCCCCCGAGACGTTGTGATCTCAAGTCACGGAATAGCCTCAATGGACTGTTAGTGCTTGTCATGAGTATCAGCACCTATGAAGCCAGACACGGCGCACGAGAGGAGGGGTGGGTGACCAGCAACCACGCCCAGCCGCCTGTGTCTCCCTAGTGGAACCAGGTACTCATTTGAGGCTGAGTCAACCTAGGGGAGGCCCAGGACTTGTTCAGATATTCGCGACCGATGTTAGATGTGAGCGGGAATCGAACTCGGGTGAACGGTTTAATAGCGCGCACACACCAAATGACAACAAAACTCAAGTTTTTCTGCAATTGTCCTCTTCTTGCCACATGTAAGATGTTTGTTCAACAAGCAAAATTTGTCAAGATAAAGACAGTGAAGAAGTGCGGTACAACATGGCATATCCGACTCGCTGGGGACAGCGGTACAGGTGGAGACGCAAAGAGGTCAGATTCGTGAACATCTACAGACAATGACAGTTACACCCTGCACAAATACTGCAATGGATGCGGGCGGGTGATTGGTCAGGGTGGATATGTATGTTTAAGCTATTTTGCACCGTACGTAACCAACCGTGCTAATCGTGATGGTTGGATATGCGACATTGTACTGTATTGTAAAATAATACGTGTTGCTCTAGTTCATTTTGATAAATAATATATATAAATGTAACAGGTAAGTTTTACAAGGTGGTGGTGTGTGCTCCTTTGGTATATTGGTAATAATAAAATAAATTACTATATACTGTACAGGTATGCTGGCCAGGTGCTGCTGCGTTTGGAGTGCTTAACCAACAAAAAGTTGGGTTCATATCCAGGGTCAGGGGTCAACCCAGCACATGATCCCTCCGGGGTTTGACAATTAGTTAAAATGATTTGGAAGCTAAAGAGCTCTTGTCATAAAGGGGGACTTGGCTCCTACTCAGTAAGTGTGCCATGTCCACAACTAGATATGGAACGCCGATGGGGAATAGCGCTGCACAAAAGCTCGTTTGAGCAGGGAGATTTTTTTTAAGCTTGGCTTATATGCATTGCTGTACGCTACTAACTCTACTAACCATGTTCCAATTCCTGGTCATGGTAAACACCCAGCGGAAATTGGAATTTGAGCCTGGCCTGGGCCCACCCTCGGCCAGCTCACTTTAACATAAGTTCCTAGTTCAGTGTGGCTAACATCAGTAACAAGGGAGGCAGATAGTATAAAGGGGATTTGGAATTTTGCCGGTCGCCACCACCCCAGGTCGTGTGCTACGCCATCCTCAATCGGTGCTCATGAACTGCACTTGGCCCAATCGTAAGATACGCATGGGGGATATATCATTGTACTCACTTGGGCACCACAAATATCTGAACAACAAAGATGCAAAAGAAGATGAGGCAGGCACAGGATACGTAGTGCTTGATGTCTGGAAGTGTGGTATTTCTGTACTGCAATGTCCAATAACACACACACACACACACATCACCCCATTCCACACACAGCACACACAACATCCCAATCCACAGACAGCACAAACACACACACACATATTAAAAAAACATAACATGCAGGTGACCCTTGTAATACAAATATATTTACATGATCAAATTGACCCAAGCATTTACAGTATACGATATGTATGCTCTCTCAATGCTCGCAGAGGGTTTCCAAGCCCAAACTATACCCTAATATAAATTATACATTCATATGTTATCAAGGTGAAGAGGTCACAACGGCTAATACGACTGACGTCAACACATCTTCACAATCAGTTTAATATGTGGGCTTTCGCGACCAATATTATTCATAATAAAGGTTTTTGGGTTAGATCGCGTTTATTTATAAATGTGTCGTAACCCTCCACCACCCGACACGGCCAATCAGCAAAAAAAAGTGTCACGTTGACAAAAAGACAAATAATTCACTACTTTAGCCCACCGGTGTGTTGAAGAGTGAATCCACATTTAAAGTGAATCCACATTTACAGTAAATGTGGATTCACTCTTCAACACACCGGTGGGCTAAAGTAGTGAATTATTTGTCTTTCTGTCAACGTGACACTTTTTTTTGCTGATTGGCCGTGTCGGGTGGTGGAGGGTTACGACACATTTATAAATAAACGCGATCTAACCCAAAAACCTTTATTATGAACATCTTCACAATGCTTCCTTCCTTCTGCTAGCTTCCTCAGAGTTTGTATAGTTGACTTCCAGCCTCCACTGGCTGCCCTTAAAGTGTCCAGCCATGGAGCGCAAGGTCTACCCCCTTTGTGATCTAAAGGGTGGCCGCTCCAACGACTACCCCAGGACACCTGTCCAGTCCATCCTGCATGGTAATGCGCGCAGCATTGCAACCATCTCTTCCTGAGTATGTTAATAATGTGTGCTTTTGACACATTCTACTCCAAAACTTCCACGTGTCTTAGCCCATCCCGCGTTTACATTTCGAAGAAACCTCTGCATGGCTTTACATTCAAAGGCCAGACACTGCTTTTTATAGCTGCTTTCGTAGTTTTAGCTCTCTCACCCATAAAATAGCACAAACATTCCTAATGCCCATGTAATCGCACTGTGGGGCTTTGCCCAGGCCTGGGCTCGCTTCTGTGCTCACTATGGAACGATGAACCCACCTCTTTCTCGAAGGCTCTGTCGTTGAAGAAGAGTGAGAATCTCTGGATGTCCTCTGATTTGAGCCACTGCCTGTGGAGCAAAAAAGGTGAGGGCACAAGCAGGCAAAGGAAGAAGAGGGCGCGCGATGGTGGAGTTTAGTGATGGACGAAGCAGCAAATATAATGGCCTAATGATTGGACGTACAGCAAATTGGTATTAGAGTTATCTGTGTAGCTTAAGAGTCGTTGTCCTCCAGGAGAGCTCTTGTCCACTTTTAGTTCCCGAAATAGTGTGAGTTTAAAAAACCTGCTGTCACTCCTATGGAGTGAAAGTCCGGTCAATATCAGCTGTGAGGTACACTTCGAGGTTTGTTGTTTGGGCATGTTGCAACACTTCCTCGTTTGTAATTTTTGTCATGCACAATTAGCCAAGCATAATTGTCAGTAGGCTTTCAGTTCGGGGTAAGTTTTGAATAGCGCGGTAATCAACAGTAGGAGTATCGTTCTAAAAGCATGAGAAACTCACACAGTGTAAATTTACCTCTGGAAATTCAGAGCCACTTTCCACATTGAAGATAATTTCCAAAGACTATCTTTTCTGTCCACAGCTTGTGCACAGCGGGGCAACCTGAGGCCCCAACCCACTGAATGGGAAATGAGGCATTTTATGTTTTAATGAATGTCCCCGCAGTTTATTGCTGCCGGAGTGCGGTAATAGCTCACAGCATTTGCAATATTAATTTGAAATGTACTCATTTGAAGTGTTTTTAATCTCTCCAGATAAAATAATAAATATGCCACAGAGAGTGTGCTGGTTTGTTTTTCCATCTACCAATTGGCACTGTTGCTTGATAACATAAAAAAAACAACAATCTCCCAATCTGAATACATAGATTTGAGCACTGAATTCCTAATTTTAAATAATGAGTTAAAATCGCAATTATGGATCAACTAAGCCCATCATTCTTTCCAAGGGCAATAACATGTCTCCCACTAACTGAAGCACGTTCGCTCAATTTCCAACCATAGCTAACATCAGTGGTGAGTGATACCTTAATCAAATCCAAATTGATTCAGAATGTCTTAGTGCTATATATAGCCAAAAAACCCCTCATGACTGACAGCATAGGGAGCCCTGCTAGCCAGCAGCAGATTGACAAAGGGCTTCATAATAAACGTTTTTGGGTTAGATTGCGTTATTATAAATTTGTCGCAACCCTCCACCACCCGACACGGCAAATCAGTAAAAAAATGTGTCACGTTAACAAAACGCCAATTAGTTACTTCTTCAGCCCACTGGTGTGTTTGAAGAGCGAATCCACAACATTTACAATTTGAATACGACGTTTCGCTGGTAGTTACATCCAGCATCTTCGGGCGATTGCCAGAATAGTGAAGCCATCCACCTGCTTCCAGTCTTAAATAGTGCAGCAGGACGACGTCATCATTGTTGAACCCCATCAGGTTTCAAGATCAGAGGCGGAGGTGGGGGGGTATTGTCATTATATAATAGATTAGTGATCAGTTAATTAGTATGTGATTCCTCTATAAGAAATTGTAATATGTAATGTGTATTACTTAATAATACGCTTCCAGGCTGCACTAAGCCTGTAGCTATCAGAGCGGTTAAAATTATTTGTATTTTTCTCAATTTCGATTGATTCTCTAATTAGTCTTCTTTGGTTCTTTCGGTAAAGTCACGTAGAATGAGAATAAAATAATAAATTGATAAAATAAAATAACACAAAATTTATTTTATCAATTTATTATTTTATTCTCATTCTACGTGACTTTACCGAAAGAACCAAAGAAGATGAATCATTGCAGTCACGAAAGCTTTAAATCTCTAATTAGTCTTGGCCAGTAATAATTAGTTTTGCATAACACTTCAACGTTATCAAAATCAATTGAATGTCCTTGTTGGCGAGCATGCAATGCCACTGCTGACAGCTATGTTTGAGATAATTTAATGTTCCTTTCGTGTTCTTTTAGTCTTACGCTAATGTTACGTCCTGTCTGTCCAATATAGCATTTATCGCATGAGCAATTGATCCGATATACACCTTCTGTTGGTAACTTTGGTAATTGATCTTTAGTACAAGACCCTAGTTTTTGAATGTTGTGTACCACACCAAATCTCACTTTAATGTGTTGCTTTTGCAAAACACGGGTTAATTTGTCAGTTACTCCTGAGGTATATAGTATTTTAATTGTTTTGATAATCTGATCACTTTCAGCAGTATTGTTGTTCGGTCTTGGTTTGGCATTCGATGCTCTATTAATTTGAGCATTATTGTAGCCATTCAGTCGTAGTGCTTCTTTAACATGTTTACTCTCTCTCCTTAGACTTTCACCATCTGACACTGTTTTTGCCCGATGTATGAGCGTCTTGATGAGAGAGGATTTCTGTGCTGGGTGATGATGCGAATCTGCATTCAGATAAGCATCTGTATGCGTTCCCTTGCGGAAGACGCTGTGTGTGTTGTTTTACCATTTAGGCTGATGTCCAAGAAAAATATGCAGGAAGGGGAGTGTGTTGTTCAGCTCCATTTCCATGGTAAACTGGATGGCCGGGTTTTGTGCATTGAGATTATTTAAAAATTCACTAAGTTTATCTTTACCATGTGGCCAGACAACCAAAGTGTCATCGACATATTATTTGGGTCTTTCGGTAAAGTCACGTAGATAGGTTAAAAAAATAATATTACAACAAAAAACTACAATGTTTCGATCACAACACAAGCGGTCGTCATCAGGAGAAAAATGAGGGGTCACCCTCTAAAGGCAAACTGTTTATAAAGGTTTAAAATGGGCGTAGCTCCAGTGTCAGCAGCATGGGTGGAGGAGCTTTTGTTAATGTGAGAGATTAAAAAACCATGTGCCTCCGCATGTAGGGCGGAGAAGGTTATGTTGATATGAGGGGTTAAAAAGCAGTGTACAATGCTAAAATGGAAATATTACAGCCCGTTATGACTTCAACTGGTTGATAACGTCCTTCCAGTCATTGTTGAGTTCATACCCATTCTCTCGGTTGAAATTGTGTCTATGTCTGTATGTATGGATGGCTTCATGAACAAATCTTTGTTGATAGCGAGTGGATTTCCAAACTACCTTCGTCTTAGAGAAATCAATTTCGTGTGAGCCAACCGCATTAAAACAATGATCAGCTTGCTCACGAACGTGGTCCGAGACATGTCGCTTAGTTTCCCCAATGTAACTACTGCCGCAGACATGGCATAGTTTGTAGACGCCGGGGTATTGCACGTCAGGGATCACATCCTTCACAGATGGGATCAGATCACGAATTTATGTACTGTGTTAAATCGAACCTGGATCTTGTGTTTGCTCATGATTTTGGAAATATTTTTGGGGACCCCTTCTATGTATGGCAAGGTGATGGTTTTGATTGGGTTCTGAGATGGTTCTTTCCCAACGGTTGGGGTGATCGCTTTACGGATTGTGTTGTCTGAATATCCATTCGTCTTAAGAGCTTGGTGTACGTGTTCCAGTTCACTGGCTAGGTGATTATGGTCGGAAATACATCGAGCTCTCTGGTGTAGAGTTTTGATGAGGGAATTCTTCTTGAATGGATGGTGGTGGGAGTCAGGTTTTAGGCATCCGTATGGGTAGCTTTCCTGTAGACAGAGTGGCCCATCTAGCCATCTGGTCTCTTTTCAATTAAAACATCCAAGAATGGTAGCTTGCCATCCTTTTCCACCTCCATGGTGAATTTGATGGCTGGGTGTATGGAATTGATGTGGTTGAGGAATTGGTTTAGAGCTAGTCGGCCATGTGGCCCGATGACGAACATGTCTCTTTCACAAGGACGGATGTAGATTGGATGCCTGAATGGCGCCTGTCTCAAATTTTTCCATGAAAACAATGGCTACAAACGGAGATAAAGGACAACCCATTGGGATGCCTTCAACTTGTTTGTAGAATTTTCCATTCCAGGTGAAGTAAGTGTTGGTGAGGCAGTGTCTCACCAGGGCCGGTACATCAGCATACAATCCTTGTTGGATCAAATCTTTAATGATTGCAATGGTGTGAGGCACAGGAACTTTGGTAAACAAAGAAACTACATCGAAACTAACGAGCAAATCACCTGAAGATAGTGAGATATCCTTAATTACTGATACCAAGTGAGCTGAGTTCAGTACAGCTGAGGCGGTCTTACCAGTGAATGGTTGTAAGGTCAAAGACAGAAATCGGGCCAGTTTGTAAGTGGGTGAGTCAATGGTGGAGACGATAGGACGAAGGGGTGTATCCTCTTTATGGATTTTTGGTAAGCCATACAATCTAGGTAGTCTAGCAGCAGAGGGTTTTAATGAAACCGCTTGGTTTGTTCGATTAAAGATGTCGAATCAGTAATGATGTTGTTGGTTTTTGTAACGAGGTTGTTGGGGGGATCTCTTTTAATTTTTGTATAGCTACCATCATTAAGTAGGTCCTGAATTTTGTTATTGTATGTGGTTTTGTCCATGATGACTGTGGCATTCCCCTTGTCGGCAGAGAGGATGACAATGTCATTCCTCTTTTTTAATTGAGAAAGCTCATCGACATATCTAAACCAAAAAGATAGTTGTAATGTACTTGAGGCAAGTGCTCTTGTTTAAAAGTTTTCCATGTATAAATTTGCTGCTCCTTCCTTTTGTTTAAAGAAGTCACCTCTCCATCAGAAATAAGTATTATTTAGCTAGTTTTGGAATATCTTCTGGTAAACCTGTCTTCTGTACTAGTGTATCAAGTAATTTAAGTGACTTGTTAACTGGAACCTTAGTGAATAGAGTAATTACATCGAAACTCACCAGAATATCATAAGGGCTAAGTTTACTATCTTTAATCACATTCACAAGATGTTCTGAATTTATTATAAATGAAGATGTCCTACCGATGTAGCGCTGTATCTGTTTAATCACATGTTTTGCTAATTTATGTGGCAGAACCTATTGTACTTAATATGGGTCGTAAAGGGATACCGATCTTACGAATCTTTGGTAGCCCATACAATCTTGGTGGCTTTGAGGCCCGTGGCTTAATTTGGTAATTCTGAGTCTTGGGGATGAATGAATTTGCAATGATTGCAGTAGTCTTGCGTTCTAAAGTATTTGTTGGATCTCATTTAATTTTAATATCGGTATCTTCCTCCAGTAATTTTTTTATTTTATTATCATAATCTGTTTGGAACATCACTATAGTAGTGTGGCCTTTATCAGCTGCCAGAATTTGAATTTCCTTATTTAATCGAAGTTCTCATAAGGCTTTTCCTTCGCTAAAGCTCATATTTATTTTTGGTATTTTGCTATTCTCGATTATTTTGGCAACCTCGTGTCGAGTCTTCTCTGCCTCGTTATGTGTAATTATTACTGGCCAAGACTAATTAGAGAATCAATCGAAATTTAGACGAATACAAATAAATTTTGATTTAAAGCTTTCGTGACTGCAGTAATTAATATTCTTAGTTCTTTCGGTAAAGTCACGTTGAAGGGAAACAATAAAATAATAAAATATATATAAAACAATAAAAATTCTCACGACGTTTCGACCATAACACAAACGGTCGTCTTCAGGTGTGTCGGTTTGCATAAATTTATGGTTGAAACGTCGTGAGAATTTTTATTGTTTTATATATATTTTATTGTTTCCCTTCAACGTGACTTTACCGAAAGAACTAAGAATATGAATACAAATAATTTCAACCGCTGTGATAGCTACAGACTCAGTGCAGCCTTGAAGCATATTATTGAGTAATACACAATACATATTGCAATTCCTTATAGAGAAGTCACATACTAAGTGGCTGATTACTGATCTATTATATAATTACAATACCCCCACCTCTGATCTCGAAACCTGATGGGGTTCAACAATGATGACGTCGTCCTGCACTATTTAAGACTGGAAGCAGGTGGATGGCTTCACTATTCTGGCAAATCGCCCGAAGATGCTGTATGTAATTGCCAGCGAAACGTCGTACTCAAATTCTAAATGTTGTGGATTCACCCTTCAAACACACCGGTGGGCTGAAGAAGTAACTAATTGGCGTTTTGTTAATGTGACACAAAATTGGCCGTGTCGGGTGGTGGAGGGTTGTGACACATTTATAATAACGCGATCTAACCCAAAAACCTTTATTATGAAAAATACTGGTCGCGAAAGCCTACGTGTTAAACTGACAAAGGGCTGTAAATTATTACTTTTTTAATCACACAGTGGCTAAGGTGAAGATGAGTTTACAATGCAGCAGAGTTCTGTATTGTAAGACAGTGAGTGCAAATCTAACAATGGTTGATTTAGCCCCATAACAGTCATCATCATTGTCACTATCATAATCCTTTTACGGTCCAGATAATACAGCAATACACACAACCAGGTGAGGCTCGACCACCATGTTGAAATTCAAGAGATTAAATAATCCCTGTCATAGGAATATGGAATTTACACCACTGGCCAATTGAACTGAATTCTACCCAACCTTGAATTGAGGTTGATGATAATATCCTCAATCATTGGACCTGATAAGTAAGGATAATAACCTCGATAACTACATGCGGTTTGATTAAGCTATCTGAGAGAATCAGAAAACCCAGAGTGTTTGAACAAGACACCATGGAGGGGGCGATGTGCTTCTCGCCCTGCCTCCTGTAACGACGCCACCTTCATGTGGCACGTGTGCAATGCCGCCTATGGTGAACTCATGGCCTTGCCTCTGTGCGGCCACGCACTGCGCGCGACTTACTTCTGTGAGTTGATGCCTTCAATGGCTTGAATCATTCTTTCGTTCAGCTCCTCTTCAAAACGCCTTCGCTGGGAGCGACTCCTTTATAAAACACAAAGACAAAGATCCCCCAGATGTGCTTAACAAATTTGTTGGGACAAGTGCTGTTAGCGAGCACCAATGAAGGCCGGCATGGCACACGTGGGGCTGAGTGGCCAGCACCACGCCTGGCTGCCTTTGTCTCCCTAGTGATGTATAGTGGCGATGTTTACACACCGCACCAGGTTCTCATGTAAGGCTGAGTCGACCTAGGGAAGGCCCAGAACCGGTTCAGATGATCGTCACTGAAGTTGGCCATGAGCGAGAGTCGAACTCGTGTCTCTGGGTTCATGGCACAGCGAGATAACCGCTACACTATCACTCCTCACACATACACACACACGAAGACATTGTCCCCCCTACTGCCATACAGATTCCTGGAGAAGTGCCACTAGCAACACCTATTACGGGCGACGTGACTCACCAGAGGGCGGCATGATAAGCACCACTCCCAGCCGCCTTCATCTCCCCAGTGTTGATGGTTTCACACCGCACCAGATACTTATTTCAGCCTTAAGTGAACCAAGTGGAGGCCCAGGACTGGTTCAGATATATATTTCACTGATTTTAACCATAGCTGGAATTCAAACTCAGTCTCCAGGCTCGCAACACAGTGCTCAAACTCCTGCGCCCCTACTGCCCTCACTCAGAGGACAAAGCTAACAAACCCGCGTGACACGAAGGACAGTGATGGAACCCGAAATGATGAATGTTATGTAATTGCAAATGAGATCCTTAGTTTACATATTATTCGCTGATATAAGTTACAGATTTATTATGTTATCATAATATGACACTCTGGCAGCACTTACAGTGCTCATGTTTATTCTAAAAATGCAATTAGCCTTATTGCAGGTATTTATTTTAAGAAATAAATGATAGACCCCATAGAATAATAGTCCCCATTTTGAGTTATAGACTTTCTATCAGCAAGTGCTGATAATGAGCACACATTAACCTTTTTCCTGTTCTGATCACGTACGTGATCAGTTTTTCTTATGATTCCATTCCGATGACGGACACATACGAACTGGGTAGAAAAAACTAAAATGACTTCATCAGTACCGAGGCTGCCACAGGGCCATGCGGGAGGGCGTGCAGCACAATTTGGCGACAGCTATCGTCGAGTGCGGCGGTCGTGTCGCAACAATTTTCTGCGGTGAGTACAATGTCTTTAAAAATAATGGCGCTACGCCGCTCTAAATAAAATGAACACTGAGATGCTTGCGCGTTCCAAAATTTAGCGGTGAATGGGACACCCACCCTGCAACTTACAGACATCTTGGAATGGGAAATGGTTAAGACCAGCATGGCATGTGAGGGAATACTGTGGCCAGCACCACATCTGGCCGCCTGCGTCTCCCCATCAGCGATGATTGTACACAGCACCAAGTAATCGCTAAGACTTAACCAAATGTAGTTGAAAGCTCCAATTTTGGTACAACATATGAAAACATCCTCATCAAATGGATATAACTTTGGCCAGTGAGAGAATACAACTGAAATGCAGATAGCAAAGACTTAAAATGCTCATCAGTCCTAGATTTGAAGCTTTCGTGACTGTAAGGATCCATACTCTTTGGTTCTATTCGGTAAAGTCACGTAGGTAAAAAAATAAAGCAACAAAAATCACGACGTTTCGGCCACAACACAAGCGGCCTTCATCAGGTGAAGGGACCAGACTGTCTCGACGACAGCGCTGGAGTGAAACACAGCTAAGCTCAGACCGCGACCTTTAAGCTGTGTGAGAGTAATTAAGGTGCCTTGACAAAGGAATTAGCATAAAAAATTGCATTTTAATAGGCGGACTTAGCATGATGAAAGGTAGGGAGGGGGTCGACCTGTGCAGGCTGGCGAGGGGGCACGGCAGCATCCACATGCTGGTGGTGTGAAAAGGGGATTTTAAGCTGCGAAAGTTTGGGGTACCACTCCTTGAAAAATATACTGTACCATTAATTAATTACTCTCACACAGCTTAATTACTCTCACACAGCTTAAAGGTCGCGGTCTGAGCTTGGCTGTGTTTCACTCCAGCGCTGTCCGAAACGTCGTGATGATGAACCTGATGAAGGCCGCTTGTGTTGTGGCCGAAACGTCGTGATTTTTGTTATTTTATTTTTTACCTACGTGACTTTACCGAATAGAACCAAAGAGTATGCTCATCAGTCGTTCAATCCTCGAGGGCCAATGACATTGGTTCCACTTTGTGGGACGTTAAAAGTGATTGTACTATGGAGAGACTGGCTCCACCAAAGTCGTGCAGAGTTTCTACTACCGGCTCAAGGACACCAACAGAGATGAGCACTGCCCATGTGCAAGGGTGACCTTTGAACTTTCAGTTGGTGCTACATATATTTTAGCATCACATTCTGTATTTTAGCATCACATTCTAAACACACATTGTCGCGAAATGGATTTCAAAGTCAACGACAACTGGGGTGATCAATGAATAAACACTTCTGTAGACTGAAATGGCTTCAATTTATCAGGACATAGCCACCTCTGCTGGCAGAATGTGGGAACCGTATTTGTGTTTGAAGTTACAATTTAATCAGGAGTCAAATTACTTCAAAGTAATTGGAGGCTCTTTGATCCCTGCAAGTGAGAAATGTGTGCTGCAGCAAGGACTCTGGCTGAGCCCAAGGTTGATTTCAAAGGCTTTGTAGGCCAATACAACTCGAGGCCCCTCGGGGCAGATGAGCCATTTGCTCGAGGGCAACCTCCACATATGGCGGAATGTCTGCCAATGCTCTCAAGAGACTCAAAAGATCAAAATCAGCATATGTATTCATATTGGAGGAATGTGATGAGCTATGAAGCTCTTTTTCACATACGTCCAGTAGGCACAGGCCCGGATCAGGCAGAGATGTGACAAACATTTTTTGGGGGGATATTCAAAAACTGATCAGGGGTGGTGTGGGGGATCATGAGGGGTCGTCGTGAGGGGCTGATTTACGAGACGTTTGTTGGGAAGGCTGCTGGTGCTGTCCACCCCGGGAAGGGTGGGGGGACACTATCTCTGGGTGGACCGAGAGGGGACTGTGGGGAGCCCCTATACCGATCGCTGGTCCGGGTGACAGTTGCCAAGTTAAAGGGTAATTTGTGGACGAGAACGGGCGGAGGAAAGCCTCCACGCCTGCACTCGTCCAGAAGCAGAACATTTTTATTACACACGGAGCACAGGACGTTAACCAGGCTTCGTATTTAATGAGTTAACTTTGAGCCTTTGATAGAGTAAATGTGCTAATTCCTCTCAATGCCTGTGTCGGTGCAAGTGCGGTTGCATGTGGGTACGTTAAATGGTTGTTGCTTTTTTAGTTAGAATTGGCGCACTTAGATCAGATAGTTGTAACCAGTGCGACTCTGGTCGTGTTCTCGGTTCGCTGGTTGTACGGACATCAACGAGTGAAGTGTCTACTCTCGCCCAGCGCACGCTGAGTAGCCACTCTCAACAGTGAGAACACGAACACCTTCAATTATAAGACTTTACTGACCTTTCCCTCGATGGGTTAATCTGCACCATCTGAATGTCCTGCAGAAAAAAAAACCCACACACAATAGACACGTAAACAAGTAAGCCAATGTTAAGGCATCTGCTTTGATGAAAGGTGGGTTTGTAAGTACTGCACTGTGTTTGTAAGGCAGCTGTCAGGGAAGCACAGACGGACACTGCAAATTAGGCTTTGCATCTTGTGCGACAAGCCAATGCATTTGAGGTTCTGGGTTCGGAGTTCTGGATGGGACATCCGCCTCACATTAATTTCTATTAATCAAATTTGAGATTGCGTTAGCGTCATTCCACTAAGTGCACACTCAGTCGGTTGCTTCATCCAAGTGTTAAACTTTTGATTGCGGTCCCCTCACACGCGCGTATTTTCTCTGGATAGTATCGTTACCTCTCCTGTGCTAATATAACAACCAATTGGCTAAAGCTCCCAAACTAGGCCCCTCCAAATATTTTTTGACTTAATGAGGCTTTTTTGGGTTAAATGATGACATATAATTTATGGATTATCTATTATTATGATTATCGTTTGCTCGTCTTGCTGAGCCTGGCGACAGCCACTTCATCAGCAGCGTGGAGGGAGGGCCCTGAGTCCACCTGTGAGTGATATAGCATTTTATGTTACTTAATTTTCAGGGGCTTTGGAGAGCCAGATCACTAAATTTGTGGCCCAAAACATGAAAGACTCAACTACAGATTCCCAAAGCACAACTGCCGTACGGTACTGTGGAAAACAGTGAAAGAGAAAAAAATCCAACTCTGAAAAAGGCAATTTAATTATCCAATAGTCAGAGGTGATTGATGCTCAGTCACCTAGTGAGTTCTCAGAAAATTACTTCTGCCGGGATGGGTTTATTGACATGAGCGAAAAAGTAAGTGAACATGCGCGGTGCTGGTATGGCCACGATGTCAAATTTGAAGAAGAAAAAAAACAGTCGCAATAAATTTGCTTTTAAAAACCCTGAACGAGGCCAGCCTCTGGATAGGGAAGTCAACGATTGTTAACCCATCCAAATGGAAAACGAACATAAACCAAACAATGCCAATTGAATTCTACAAATAAAGAACGGAACTATCCAGAGCGTTGCGTGACTTAATGTGTAATTCACCGGAAAAAGAAGTTAAACTTGCAATTATATGAAAGGTTTTTTTTTATATTTAAAGTTGCAGTGCTGTCAAGTCTAATTAATTTCAGGCTGTGACACATGCAATTATGATGAACATTTTGAATTAAAAATGTAAACCTAAAATTGATCAGGAGAGGATGAAGACAGATCCAATACTCCCCCACACGACATTTGTGGGGGGGCGATGCTGGCCACCATGCCCCATTAGGGGCCCTGCCCCACATCATCCGATCAAGTTATATTTGAATGTATGGCCGTCTCATGCATTTACACAAACACGTGTCCTCACACAAGAGAACACACATACACACACACACGTGTCCTCACACACGACATCACACACACACGTGGTCTCACACATGAGATCACAAAAAGACGTATCCTAACACATGAGATTACACACATGTGTTTTCATACACGAGATCACACAAAAAAATAAGAAAATGGAACTTCAGCCACTGGCTTAACACTCCAATGATGATGAACATTGCCCAATGTTCATTGGAGGATGAGCATGCTTGAGGTCTTTGATGGTTGATTATATATAAACGTTATACTTCCCTCCTTTTCTAAACCACGCTGTATTCTTGGTTCTTTAATGGAAATATTATTGCTAAATATATCTATGAAAACAAGCGTTATATGTTGCGGCATTTCAAGGGTTAAGGCTAGTTGATATGCTACAAGCCACTGTTTATAAGAGCATAAACAATGTAATAGGTTAGGGAGTTTTGAGGACGCTTACTTTCCACAAGGGGCTGTCCCCTCGTGGATGGAGGATAATAGGGAATGAGCAATTCATAAGCACAAAGGTTTGACAGCTGACAGCAAGGAATAACAGCGCAAAACTTCCCTCTGCTTGGCAACTCTGCATGGCTGTGAATGTAAATGTTGCGTGCTGAAGTCATCGGGATGCTTGAAAAAATAAAAACAAAAGCATGCGGTGGCGAGATGGGCACCACAGTGGCGAGATGTTAGCTACCTCGCCCGGTATACGGGAGGTCGTGGGCTCGATCCCAACCCTGACGCCTGTATATTTGGCGTTTGAGTGTTCTCCCCGTGCCGCGTGGATTTTATCCAAGGTCCTCCAGTTTTTTCCTCCACATTTAGAATCGACATGCGTTTCGAATATTTAGCTACTATAAATTTCCACATGATAAGCCATTGCGTTGAGCTATCATTTGTGGCCAGGTCGCTTCTGAAAGAGAGCTGTATGTAGTACCGTATAGAAAACCTCCTTTGCATTTTAAGTGCCTTTCCAAGTGAGATATTAGGACAACTCCTCCAAATACAAATCGCTCTGCCTTACATGCACATGTACACGCACACATGCACAGAGGCACAAAGCCCCCATTTATACATACGGACCATATGGAAAAGCGGAGCACTGATTGAGGCTGGTGCAGCTCATAACATAAAGGTGGTCGGGGTGCTCAGAGGTCAGAGTTCTGAGCCAACACCACCGACGTAATGAGTTAGTTCTGGAGGGATTCCGTGCTTAAGCCAGGTTCTCAAGTGTAGAGAGTTGCTGGTCTGAACCCTGCCACTAACAAAGGCAAAAAAAATACCCATCATATTAAACCTTTATTTTTCACTTGATTTGGCTAAATTCCAACCGTAAGAATCAAGGACGTAATTATAATTTATATTGGCGGGGGGGGGACACACACCCAAGTGATGTTGCTGTACCCCAGCAGAAGCCGTTGCTCGACTGCTCTGGGTAGGTACAATCAATGTCAAACACTGTACTGTCTCATATTCTTTGGGTCTTTCGGTAAAGTCACGTAAATAGATTCAAAGAAAATAACATAAGAGGGGGTTAGCTTCTAAAGGGTTAGCTTCTAAAGGTAAATTGCTTATTGAGGTTTGAAATGGGAGTAACCCAAATGTCAGCAGCCAATGTTAATGTGAGTGGTGGGCAGCGGCGATGGTGGGTTTTCCCACCAATCAAAGGGCTGCCAGGTAAAAATGAGCATGATAATGTAAGACCGTTCAGCAGTTTCCACGGTGGGCGCCCTGAGTTGGCTATGTTAATGTGAGAGATTAGCATGTTGATGGGAGATCGCAAAGCAAAAACCTCGAGCTCGGTGAGCGAGGTGGCTGTGTTAGGGTGATAAATTTAAGCTGTTAATGTAACATCAGAGAGCCGAAAATAACAACATCGGAAGGTAGTAGGATGGGAACAGCACAGCCAGTTATGACTAAAACTGGTTGATAACGTCCTTCCAATGATTGCTCAGTTTATGCCCATCTTCTCCATTGAAATTGTGTCTGTGTCTATATATATGGATGGCTTCATGAACGAATCTTTGTTGATTGCCAGTGCGTTTGCAAAGTACCTTCGTCTTAGAGAAATAAATTTCGTGCGAGCCCTCCACATTAAAACAATGATCAGCCACGGCCAAGGTATTGGTCCTACCGTGTTTCATATCTGCCTCATGTTCACGAACACGGTCCGAGACATGTCGCTTAGTTTCCCTAATGTAACTACTGCCGCAGACACAGCTTAGTTTGTAGACGCCAGGGTATTGGATGTCAGGGATCACATCCTACACAGATGGGATCAAATCACGAATTTTCTGTAGTGTTAAATCGAACCTGGATGTTGTGTTTTCTCATGATTTTGGAAGTCGTTTTGGGGACCCCTGCTATGTATGGCATGGTGATGGTTCTGATTGGGTCCTCAGATGGTTCCTTCCCAACGGTTAGGGTTATAGCTTTTAGGATTGTTAAGTCTGAATATCCATTCATCTTGAGAGCTTGGTGTACGTGTCTCAGTTCACTGGCTAGGTGATGACGGTTGGAAATACATCGAGCTCTCTCGTGTAGAGTTTTGATGAGGGAATTATTCTTGGATGGATGGTGGTGGGAGTCAGATTTTAGGCAGGCATCCATATGGGTAGCTTTCCTGTAGACAGTGTCCCATTGAGCAATCTGGTCTCCTTTCGATTAAAACATCCAAGAATGGTAGCTTGCCATCCTTTTCCACCTCCATGGTGCATTTGATGGCTGGGTGTATGGAATTGATGTGGTTGAGGAATTGGTTCAGAGCTGGTTGGCCATGTGGCCAGATGACAAATGTGTCATCCACGTACCTCTTCCACAAGGATGGACGTAAAGTGGATGCCTGGATGGCATCTGTCTCAAATTTTACCATGAAAACATTGGCTACAACCGGAGATAAGGGAGAACCAATTGGGTTACCTTAAACTTGTTTGTAGAATGTTCCATTCCAGGTGAAGTAAGTATTGGTGAAGCAGTGTCTCACCAGGGCCGGTAGATCAGCATTCAGTCCTTGTTGAACCAAATCTTTAATGATTGCAATGGTGTCAGGCACATGAACTTTGGTAGTCAAAGAGACTACATCGAAACTAAAGAGCAAATCACCTGGAGATAGTGAGATATCCTTAATTACTGATACCAAGTGAGCTGAGTTAAGTACAGCTGAGGCGGTCTTACCAGTGAATGGTTGTAAGGTCTCAGACAGAAATCGGGCCAGTTTGTAGGTGGGTGAGTCAATGGTGGAGACGATATGACGAAGGGGTGTACCCTCTTTATGGATTTTTGGTAAGCCATACAATCTGGGTGGTCTAGCAGCAGAGGGTTTTAAGGAAAATCGCTTAGTTGGTTCGATTAAAGATGTCGAATCGGTGATGATCTTGTTGTTTTTTGTAACGATGTTGTTGTTGGGATCTTTTTAAATTTTTGTATAGCTACCATCATTAAGTAGGTCCAGATTTTTGTTATTGTATGTGGTTTTGTCCATGATGACTGTGGCATTGCCCCTGATGTTGCTAATAGGTGTCTTAGCGTTTTTGAGGATTGCAGCCATTTCCGATCTTGCCACGTCTACAACCATTCACTGGTAAGACCACCTCAGCTGTACTTAACTCAGCTCACTTGATATCTTCAATCAAGGACATCTCACTATCTCCAGGTGATTTGCTTGTTAGTTTCGACATGGTATCTTTGTTTACCAAAGTCCCTGTGCCTGACACCATTGCAATAATTGAAGATTTGGTCCAACAAGGACTGAATGCTGATGTACTGGCCCTGGTTAGACACTGCCTCACCAACACTTACTTCACATGGAATAGAACATTCTACAAACAAGTTGAAGGTACCCCAATGGGTTCTCCCTTATCTCCAGTTGTAGCCAATGTTTTCATGGAGAAATTTGAGGCAGATGCCATCCAGGCATCCACCCTATGTCCTTCCTTGTGGAAGAGATAAGTAGATGATATATTCATCATCTGGCCACATGGCCTACCAGCTCTGGACAAATTCTTCAAGCACATCAATTCCATACACCCAGCCATCAAATTCACCATGGAGGTGGAAAAGGATGGCAAGTTACCATTCTTGGATGTTTTATTCGAAAGGAGACCTGATGGCTCAATGGGACAATACAGGAAAGCCACCGATACGGATGCCTACCTAAAACCTGACTCCCACCACCATCCATCCCAGAAGAATTCCCTCATCAAAACTCTATACCATAGAGCTAGTTGTATTTCCGACCATCACCACCTAGCCAGTGAACTAGAGCATGTACACTAAGCTCTCAAGAAGAATGGATATTCAGACTACCCAATCCGTAAAGCTATCAACCCAACCGTTGGGAAAGAACCATCTGTGGACCCAATCAAAACCATCACCTTGCCATACATAGCAGGGGTCACAAAGATTTCCAAAATCATGAGTAAACACAAGATCCAGGTATGATTCAACACTACGTAAAATTCGTGATTTGATCCCATCTGTGTAGGATGTGATCCCTGACATGCAATACCACGGCGCCGACAAACTAAGCTGTGTCTGTGGCAGCAGTTACATTGGGGAAACGAAGCGACATGTCTCGGACCGGGTTCGTGAACATAAGGCAGATCTGAAACACGTCAGGACCAATACCTCAGCCGTGGCTCATCATTATTTTAACGCTGTGGGCACACGCGAAATTGATTTTGCCAAGACGAAGGTAATCTGCAAACCCACTGACTATCAGCAAAGATTCGTCCATGAAGACATTCAGATATATAAAAAGTAAATACAGGCACAATTTCAACCGAGAAGATGGGTACAAACTGAGCAATCATTGGAAGGATGTTATTCACCAGTTTAGGTCATAACTGGCTGTGTTGTTCCCTTACTACCTATGTTAGCAGTTATTTTCGACTCTCTGTTTTACATTCACGAACACAGCCACCGTTAGCTATGTTAGTAAATGGCGGCTTTCCATCCTTTTCCACCTCCATGTGGCGATGTTCCTTTCCGAGCTCTCTCTAGCTTACATTTACAAGCAAATGTCTTACATTGACATGCTAATCTCTCACAATACAATGGCCACCCCACAGCTTCCTTTATCAAGATTTATCCTATCTTAAATTTACATGCAAATTTAATAATCTAGCCCCACCCACTGACCCTTGGGCTACACCCATCTCAAACCTTTATAACTCCCTGCCTGAGCAGCGCTCTGGCCATATATTTTTTCATATAACAATGCATAGATTTATGTTTATTTGATTGTGGTTATGGTTGTACTTTATTAATCCCTAATCTCTGCCATTACATACAATGAAACAAGAGAAAAAAAACAGAGCAATGTAATACAATACACTTTTGAACATTATTGTAAAAAAAAATAAAGTGCATCCCATGTGTTAGTGAATTTTTAAATATTTTAGGCAGGAAATGGCAAGAAATTAGTTTTCAAATTCAGATCTTTTTCTGGGGGGGGATCCCAGACCCTTTCGGAGATTTGGTCCCCCCCCATGTTCACTCCATGGCTATGGCTTTGGCACTAAGAATACCAAAAAAATATATTGGTTGTGACCGTCATGCAACAATGTCGTAGCAGAGATTATGGGAACACAATTTTTGTAAAGAATAAATAGGAAACTTTTAAATATGAATTCATAAATAATGATTGCTTCCAACAAGCCGTGCTATCCCTCATAGAGTGCACCGGTTATTTCACGTTTATGAATGGATTCTTCATCTTGTGACACAAGACTGATAGCAACAATGCAATAACCGACCATGCACATTCTCATTAGCTTGAATTTAGTTGCAAAATCTTTTCCAGTAAAACGTGAAATTCGCTTTTATGGATTTTGACTTATATCGTTAAGTTCCCAAAAACCTCAGATGGCCAATGCCACTGTGGTATTGCGGTTTCATTAAATCAGTATAGAATGGCAGTGCCAGCTGACAGAACTTAGATTCTATTACGTGTAGTCACAAATGCATGTTTTGTTTCTCAGAAAATGATTACCTCACTTTTTGTTTGCTATTTGGTACACGCAAGGTTGCATAACATGGTTACTATTCTCCAGAGTAAATGCATTCTGAGCCCGGCTGTAGCGATTAGAATTCGCTATTGGAGCAATTGGATCTGAAAAAAAAAGTATCTTGAAATCTAATACCGGAATTAGATTTGCGGAAGTAGACCAGCTTGGAATGATGTTTGGGTCTGACTGGAGCTGACATGATGCGTCCCACCAGACCCTACACCGCTCACCGGGGGATACTTTACCATTTGCCATTTGTATTTGCACACACGCACGTGCGCTTGCGTTGCTGCGGCTGTCTCACCACGGTGCAGATCTTGCCGTTGGAGGAGGCGGTGGGGTCGCAGGGCACGCTGTCACGGTGCTGCAGGTGAGCGAAGGGCTTGTCCGCGCCCCACGACTCCAGGTACCGCGTCATGCGCATGGAAGCTCGCATTGGGTCGCTGAACTTGGAGCACTTGCACGACAGATGAGGGCTCTCCTTCTCGCCCTGGAGGTAAACACGGCAACGCAGACGAGAAAGGTAAATATCTCTGGAACCCTTTATGCCAGTATCATAGTGTTAAAAATAAGAATAGGTTTTATCCTTTCTGGCAATAAAACAGGTGTTAAGGTGTTCAAACACCAAATAGATACCTTTTGCAAGGAATCAAGTCCGTGTTTGAACATCGTAACACCTGTTGCCCCCCCACCCCCCGCAATCTCCGCCAATGAGCACACCTGCGGGTTGATGACCAGGAAGGTTTTCATGCCGGTAAGGTAGGGGTCTCGCAAGAAGCCCCTTCCCTCCTCCACCTCATACGCCCCGTGCAGGTGCTCGAGTGTTGCCTCTGTGATGTGCACCCGCCTGCAGCCAGCAGACAGGTCAAGCCGAGGGGCCACCACGCACACACACGATCTAAACTCAACGTGCAAAGACAAAGATCCCCCCTGTATAGCCTTAACAGACTGTTGGGGCAAGTGCAGTTAGCGAGTAGCAGCTATGAAGGCCGGCATGGCACACTGGTGGGTGGCCAGCATAACGCCCGGCCGCCTTTGTCTCCCAAGTGGAGATTTTTACCCACCATACCAGGTACTCATTTGAGGCTGAATCGATCTAGGCGAGACCCAGGACCTGTTTAGATAATCGTCAATGTGTTGGCTGTGAGTGGGAATCGAACTCCGGTCGCCGGGTTCGTAACGCAGCGTGCTAACCGTTACACCATCGCTCCCCACAACTACTACCCTTGCACCGTGTGGGCGCACACACAAAAATCTCCCGTATAGCCTTAACAGATTGCTGGGGCAAGTGCTGTTAGTGATCGCTGATGGCCAGCATAATAATTTTCAACAAATCAGGTTAAATTGGAAAGCATTTCACCTTTCCTACCCACACTCACTTTGGTAGAAGGAGCAGTGCCTTTATCATAGTTGCGTATACTAATACACTAGCAAGTGTGCATGCACAGTAGCTATATGCATGTATATATGTATACTTAGATACCAGTAACTCACAGTAGTTTTTCATATTAGCTTCAGTGTAAACATTGTTTTAATGTTCTATATATATTTGGATTCCATACCCATCGCAACTTTCATATGCAAACTGTTGTAGGCCTAGGTTGAAAAAGATAAAATAAATTACTTAACTACAAATATTGTATATTGCAGCTTTCTAGCTCTTTCATAATATCCTCAGAATGTACATCAGTCACTCATGACCAGCTCTATACATTAGAAACCAAATAGGGCAATTTCATTATTGATATGTATGTTGAACTTCTTTCGCACTCTACATAGCCAACCGTGCTAATCGAGATGGTGCGTAATAATTTGTTGAAAAAAAATTCTGTACTTTCTGTAATTCCTCAGCATGACTTGGGATCCCAAGGTGTTCACGACTGGCTCTTGACTATCACACCAAAACACCCAGGAGCATTTGTTTCATGGGCCACATTATGCTGTGGAAACTCAGAGAAATCAAAACTGTTCCAGATATTTCAGGGAATACAAAGGTTCGGAAGACCATTGATCATGAATGTAAAATACTACGTCATTTTATCAACACAACAGATGCCTTCTCTGACAAGACAGGATAACTTCTTTCAACTGCAGCCCTTATATCCGTGATGTTGCAAAATACATCCTATTATCCGCGAGTTATTCAATATTGTTTTTTTAGGCATTAGTGTGCCAGTTTAACACGTTCGATCATGTAAATATATAAATGTGTCGTTAAAAACCGCCACCACCCAACAGAGCCAACTAGTAAGGGTTGTCACGTAAACAGAACATGCCAATTCGTTACTAGTACAGCACACTAGTGCCAAATCTGACTCGGATGTTTTGTTATTCCAAACATCTGGCTAGTTTATCAGTTACTCCCGCAGTGTACGTTATTTTCATCATTGTAATTACTTGTGCAGTTTCAATGCTCTTTGTGAATCTGGTGTCTCGTCGTTATATGTCCCATGGTCTGTTATGGGTGATCACAGTCGAAACTAAACCATTTTGTATTTTACCACTGAGCTATATAGCTCTTTTTCAGAAGCGACCTGGCCACAAATGATAGCTCAACGAAGTGGCTTGGAATGCGTAAATTATAGAAGCCAAATACTCTCAACGCATATTGATTCTAAATGTGGAGGGAACAGAGGACCGGGATGAAAAATCCACACGACCACAGAGAAAACATGCAAATTTTAAATATACAGCAGGCGTCCGGGTTGGAATCGAACCCACGACCTCCTGCATACCAGGCGAGGTAGTTAAAATCTCGCCACCGCGACGCTCCAGTTGCACGCCAGTGAATGTTTCATTTGCTTCATACACTCGTATAAATGTGGCTTCAGACGAGCGGTGGAGAGGGCCGCGCAACGCTTTTCCACCTCTCTGTGAATTCACTTTCCGCCGAGCGTGACACGTACCCGGGCACGCCGCCGGCCTCCATGTGGTTGGCGAGCGTCACGTCGTGCGACCACACGTCGTACTGCCACTTCTGCAGGCCGATGACGCCGCACAGCACGTTCCCCGAGTGCACTCCCACGCGCATGTTGATGTCCACCCCTGTGGCGTAGCGCACCTTCCTGCCGTAGCGCAGCGACGCATGGGGAGCGGGGGGTCAAGACGAAGACAAGAACGCGTCAGTTTTGCTTTTATCGGCATCTGTTCTCTCCCAATTACATTTGCACTCGTCCATCGTTACCAACCATGGTTAGTGTTTCCGCGGACTTCGCTCATTGATTTCTCCTGCCATGTTAAGGACTCGAACTAGCGGGCGCTGACTTGTTTCGTCTCATCCACATTGTGTTCAACCACCCACACAGTCGGTCACAACAACACACTCATTCACCCACTCACTCAACCACCACACTGCAGGTCTCCAACAACAAAGACAAATATCCCACGTATAGCCTTTAACAGACTGCTGGGGCAAGTGCTGTTAGTACCTATGAAGGTCACAACAACACACTCATGTACTCACTCACCCACCACACTGCAGGTCACAACAGCTCACCCACCCACCACTCACTTACCTACCCACTCACTCACCCACCACACTGCAGGTCACAACAACTCACCCACCCAGCCACCACTCACCTACCCACCACTCACTCACCCACAAAACTGCAGGTTACAACAGCTCATCCACTCACCCACCACTCACTCACCTAATCACTCACTCACTCACACCACGACACCACAGGTCACAACACGTGTCCTTCTACTTCTTCCCTCACGCTGCTCGACTTTGGAAATCTCTACCATCGTCTCTTTCCCAAGTTATGGTAGCCTTTTCTCGATTGAAGAGACGTGCCGTTATCTATTATAACCTTAACAGTGGCGTTCATCGATGGCCACTTTATGTTATGTGCCTCTGGGCCTCTGCCCAGCAACGGTGAAAAAAAAATAACCAACCACCCCCTTCTCGCATCGTCACGAGCTGAATGAATTTTCATTCAAAATGATGCTTACAGTGAACAGTGAATCACCTTGTATCAGAGGATAGCATTCGTAAAATAGTATCACAGAACAATTTATGAACAAGCTTCGGAAGCACTCTTAGCCACACTGGGTTTGGCACGTTTTGGTTATGGGTCTTGGAAAGGGTTCATCACAATATGATCAAACCGAAACATTTAAGCCTCGGAGTTGAAATTGAGTAAAAATAAACGAATTTACCATCGTGGTTGTATTCTGCAGTTATGGGTTACTGATCTGAGATAATAAATTGTTAAACTTGGCAACTCGCTTTAATGGCGGGCGGCTGATGTCAAACATTGTTAACACATAACAAGAAAAAATGCACAGCGCTTGGAAAATTTGGTGTCAAAACATCAAACATGAATCCTACGAGCATTATATACAAAGCACAATTATAAATGAGACAAAACCATTTCACATAAAATCACAAGTAAAGGCGTTTCCCTCTGCAAAGCTGATGGAGTTGCAATGCCATCTCTGCCAATGGTCCTAAACCGACAAACCCACAGTGAGTTCCAGAATTTAGCAATTGCGGGGTACGAAACCAAAGTTAAATCACGTTGTGTACCCGGTAGGCAAGCAATCGCAAGGCAGTTGAGTGCTTTAGGTAAGGTTTAATTTTTATAGTTGCAATCGCATGCCAAAAAGCTCTTTCTAGATCCCTTCCTCTTCTTAGGAGTCAGCAATCGCAATTAATTGCTCAGCCCGCAGCGCGCGCAGTGTCAATGCAGTTACGGCTGACGAACCACGGGTGGCGTTTGAGTATCGCTGATGTTATCACGTGTCGACGAAGGGCCAAAGTCTGCCCTACGGTGAGCGCACCGGGGTGAAGAGCATCTATCCTTCTCTCGATCGTTCAGCCTAATCCAGGCACCGTTGAAGGCCGGTGCAGCGAATGCTCATGGAATCTCTCTCGTTTCCCAAATGTGACTCTCTCAAGCCAGAAGCAAATGGGACCTAAGCCTGCACTCTGGGTAAATTAACGTACAGCAGCTGTTGGAAAAAAAATGTCAATGCCAAATCTGAAAGGTTACCCGCAAAATAATAATTTTGGGAAAACACATAGAAGAACTATTGTCCCATCTGGGTGAAATTTACTGGGACCCGTCTGAAAAAAAATTGGCTCTTCTGAGTAAATAAGTGTGATAAATACAGTACGTGTTAGAAAATACATTTTCAAGCACTTGTGTCAATAATGCTTGTTGCATTGATTAAGTAGACCGTGTGTACATTTCCTTGCAGCTATAATCCATTATAGCACGCAGCTTGGTTGAAATAAGCAGCTTCGAGCCTGGCCAGAACTTTGGAAAAGAAAAAAATATATCGATTACAGACTAATCGGGCAAATGTCGTACCACATTGTTAAATGTCTCCAATACACCGGAGTGCTTCTGAAGCAGCAATGAAGTGGTGTGTCTGTTCACGCGATGCTATTAATTGGCAGTGTTCCCGCACCTCCAATTTCCCCGCACCTCCGATTAGCATGTTTGGCTACGTAAGGTGCGAAAGAAGTTCAACATACATATATACAAGTCCACTGTGTCGTTCTCAATTAAATTAGCAAATAGAGAGTAACGTTGCAAGCAAACAGTAATTAAAGTTTAGATAACAACCCCTAGATGCACACTCCTGTATGTACTTTGTGTGCCTAAAATTGACCGACAATAAAAGGGTTCCCATGACTGTTACTGTGAGAGATTATTGGTATCTGTATTTTTTCCCCAAAGGTTTAATTAAAATCACCAAACTCAATGCAAGCGAAGGCCACTATAAAAGTAATCTGCCTATTTATGATTGGATTCAGGCTTATTTGGCAGGTATCTATATACATAACGTGTCCTAGTAACCGGTAGCAAATTACACTTTAGCCTCACACTCCACACGGAGCTCAACCTCTGCAGTTAAGTCGAACGCTGGTAATTAATCGCCCGATGATGCTGGGTTGTATAACTACGAGCGAAAAGTCATACCTAATTGTTAACGTTGCGGATTGGTCTTGGTGGATGCATCAGGTGGAGGAGGGTGCTCAACACAACATTTGGCGGTGTACTCACGTGCTCCCAAAACATTGATAAAAAATGTATCCCTCAGGGCCCCATTATTGGTCTCATTATTTTCTCAACATAAGTTACCACCAGGTCCAAGCATTCGTGAAACGCAGCACCAACATTCACTCTTATGCTGACGATTACACAATTAAACCCGGTGACATTATTACTGCTTTAGAAATACTGCTTCAGCAATTAAACTCAGATATGGACGGACGATTTTTTTTACTTGCCGCTAGGTTGTCAGAAGGAAGCTAGAGTCGACAAAAATAGATTTGGGTAACCTGACTCATAACTAAAAATCTGAGCTGAAAAATGCGGGAGTTTTTATTTATTTAGATCTATGTTTTGAGGATGATATAGAAAAAAGTGTATTTTTATCATCTTAGAAACATGCCCAACATTAGACCATTCGTTTCTCTGTTTGATGCCGATAAATAATGTAATGGTTTTGTTTTCTTCTAGATTGGACTCTAGATAATGCTTCATTTTCCTGTCACATCCAAGGTTTGTTTCCAATGAGCTTACAGGCTTATTACTCGAACAAAAAAATGCATCCAACTCCTGTGCTGACATCACTGCACTGGCATCCAGTTTGCTGTAGCGTTAATTTGAATAGATAAGCACTGCACAGATTACCACCGGACTATCTTACTGAGATGTTAACTCCATATCAGTCCGTGCGTGCATCGATTGAGGTCAGCTGACTCTTGTCTTTTGTATGATCCAAGAGTAAACCTCAAAAGGAAAGGAGACGCTACATTCTGTTATGATGCCCCGAGGTTATGGATATCTCCACACTTCGCTGCCAGAAATGCACCTTCAGTTACTATTATTAAATCAAGGTTAAAGAGACACTTTTTATAAAAAATATAATTACTTAAACGAACAATTGCAGTTTAAAAAAATATATATATAGCTTTGTATTTCTAGTGTTGTTATTACTTCCCAGTATTTTTCCAAACTATGTATGTTTAGGGGAATGATATTGCCCAGTGGTGGCGTAATCGCCACTGGTTGCAGAGGGACAAGCTTCGAATCATCGGCCGTCCCGATGGATACTGCGCACCGTGTACTTCACAAGTGGATGTTAAAAGATTGTGTGATGTCATTCACAAGAGCAGGCCATTGTGTTCCGACACCATCGTCTACATTTGCCAATTTTGAAAAATGACACGACAGATGATTCAATTGGAACACTGTAGCGAAAAACTTGGCAGGACCCGCCTAAAAGAGAGTAATAAGACTCTGTGACACTTTCTAGGGTAAAATAAAAACATAGTAATGAAGGGCTTTTGGATGCTCTTTAAGAACTGCTTCGTGACGTTATTTATTAAGGACCCACCGTTTCGTATTCACCACATACATTGCGGCTCTTGAAATCATCCTGTTGTTTTAGTTGCCGACCCCTGCTATGGACGTTTAATGTGTGTATACACAATTTATAGGCAGGCTGGCCAGTTTGTTTACTTGTGTAAGTGATAGTGGGGGGGGGGGGGGAGTGGTAGCGCAGTGGTTAGCGCACTGCATAAACAGTGGCAAATATTTGAATCGCTCCTGGGATTCCCCTACCTAAGTCATCTCAGCCTTAAATGAGTACCTGGTGCAGTGTGTAAACATCAGCATTGGGGAGACAAAGGTGGCCGGGCATGTTATTGGTCACCCACCCCCTCATGTGCCAGCATTAACAGGTGCTTGCTTACAGCACTTGCCCCAACCAGTCTGTAAAGGCTATACGGGGGATTTTTTTTTACTTGTGTAAGTGATACTATCTCACAATGTTGTCAACACAGATATCATCTATAAGTAATGCTGGATTGTGTTAAACACAATATAGTACGTAATTTAACCATAAAACTCTCTGTCTGCTGCAGACATCTGACAATTGTGCGAAAGTAAGCTCATGCAAAACTGTATCATTACTACTCATACTCTTTGGTTTTTTCGTTAAAGTCACGTAGGTAAAAAATAAATGAAAATAAATGAAAAAACAACTAAATTAAATCACGACGTTTCGGGCGCAACACAAGTATCATTACTTCAATATTCCATCC